AAATTGAAGGATATAATTTTGATTTATTAAGTTGTGTTAAGTAGGGGTGTTATTTGCATACAGTTTTGTCTGAAAATCTCAGGTGTATCAGTTACAATAGTGAAATATAGGTCATTCCAGGACAATAGTGAAATATAGGTCATTCCAGGAAATTAGTAATTTTGATATTTATTTAATACATATAGTATGAAAACGAACTGAAAAAGGTGTGTAAATTATGATTCATTTGTGACTAGCAGTAGTGGAGATATGTAAATCATTGTTTGAACTAAATGAACTGAAAATTACTGAAAAAATGGTGATTATGAATTTAAATCAGTGGTGTCAGTACAGTGAATGAAAGATGACAGTGGAATGGATATATACTGGAATAAAAATGGATGTAATTTGATAAATAGTTAGAAAGCAAGCTAGAATGTCAGTTTGTCTTTGGTGGAAAATAAGAAAGAAAAAGAAGGAAAATCAATGTGAAGGTAGGGAGTGTATTTTGATTGTTGTCCTAAGTTACAATTTATTATGGTCATATTGAAATAATTAGAATTAAATCTGCTAGTTTTTCATGTAAAGATATAAAAAAAACAGGTATTTCATTTCAGTTTAATATTGATTTAAGATTAAACACTGACTTTGAATCTTGTCACATTATAATTATGGCATTTAGAGTATCTAAATGTAACTGTAAATCTTAACATGTTAAAAGTGATCACCCAGGTCAGCCAGTCTGCATATCTGTGTTGGCTATTGTTTGATCTGGCTCCTTCCTTTTGCTTACTCAATTTAAATGTTGTAATATTGACACCCTTTTAACAGATAAGTCCTTTATTCAAATTAAGTGAGTAGAGTTAGTGTTATTTTAAGTCGAACATTGCTTGATATTATACAATTTTTGTCAAGGCCACTTTTGGCTATTAAGGAAAGGGGTTTTGCGTCCAGGATTTGTCCTGGTCTATATCTGTGCTCCACATTCTGGGGAAGATTTAAATAACTGGACAAATGTTCCCAAATGGGGGTTGTGCAATAAAATCAGGTGCGTAAAAGGGCAAGGTAACTTGGGTCAAATGTCAAATAACAAAATAAAACATTCATTTTCTAGTATAACTTCTATATGCATTGATGGATTTTAATATAATTTAGCACAAAATGAAGGTCAAGGCCACATAAGGTCAAATAAAAATATTAAAATTTGTTTGTTGGCCCTGAATCTTGCTCATTCTTTGAAGGATTACAAAATGATTTGGTATAAATGTTAACCATGATGGGGTGGTGAGTTGCACACAAAACCCAGGTCCGCCACTCAAAGGTCAAGGTCACACTGGGGGTAGGCCCAAAACTCATGTCCAGAGCGTAACTTCTACATGAGTGGATTGATTTTAATATAACAGCACAAATATTGTCCATGGTGAGTTGATTTGTCTTGCGCAAAATGAAGGTCAAGGTCACAAGAGGTCAAAGTTAAAATAAAAATATCAAAATTTGGTTGTCACCACTCTGTCTTGCTTATGCTTTGAAGTATTATGATAAGTGGTCAGAGGATTTTTGTTAAGCCCACTTGCGCTGAGCTCGACAAAGTTGTCAAAAATGGCTGTTGAGTGTTTGGCGTGTGAGTGTGTCCATGCCATAACTTGTGTATGGAGGAATTTTCAGATAACATGAATTTAGGTTTTTGGGCACAAATGTTCATCATAAGACTTCCTGTCATGCACATGAACCAGGTCACAGGGTCAGAGGTCAAGGTCATCTAAGATGATGCAATTTGATTCTTGGGTATAAAGAGGATGTGCTGCCCACTTCTCACCTATGCATACATCTTTCTCCTTGATCTGAAGCTTATAGATTCAGGTTTGAATTAAGACGAGCTGGCTCGACATCTGTCCGTTGGCTAGTCTTGTCTATCCAGCTAGCTTACAGAACGTTGGTGGTTCTGCTCAGGTGCCTGTTTATGCCTAAAACTATGCACAGAGGAGCACCTGATATCTTCCTCCACCAGTAAAGCTGGAAAGTCACCATTATTATGACCTATATTGTGTTGGTGCAATGTAAAACCCAATTAAAAGAAATATCTATGACCAAATGTAAATGATTTGACTGTAATCACTAAATAATGTGAAGTAAATTGATAGGTAACAAGTGTTCACTAAACTATTGATTTTATGCCCCCATAGGGTGTAGCCTATGGTTTGGGGACGTTAGGTTGCAAAAGACTAGTGTTCTGTATAAAACCTGACAAAAGTACATGATCGTCGGACCTTAATCAATAGTCATTTTACAAGTTTATGTAAAAAAAAAAACAATGTCAAAACACATTTCCTGAAAGGTTGTTAACTCAACTGACAATAAGTTTAATACCACCAATTGAGAATAAATCTGAGCAGGTTAAGATAAATGACATAAGATCAGATAGTTACTTCCTGATTGATTTAAACTAGGTTTAGTTAGGCTTTAACTTATAGAACTTGCTTATCTTGATTTAAGAGTCATATTCTTTCACCAGGTTTCATTCATTATGTTTAAGATTTTGTTATCTTAGTACAATTATATACAGATAACTACCTTTTGTTTAACATTGGTGTATGTTGGTTGCTGTCCTAATATCCAGGATGGGGTTTGGCAGTACAATGTATCTTTATGTCACAGACATCAAAATCTTTCTGGATTTGAGTAACTTAACTATTGCTTGCTTACAGAACTTATTTTTGTTAACCCATTGTGCTCCTAAATCTTTGCTCAGAAGACATATGTTGTCTCTCTACATCAAAGGCAATCTACTTTTTTCACCACATGTTCCAATGTTGCTGGTTTGACCTTCCTTCCATTGTTTCTTCACATGTATTGACAGCTTTTCATTGAAATTTCATTTATTTAGTAAATCTTTGATATTTTATATGTATCTTTATTGCTTAATACACTGCTATCCTCAGGTTTGGATTGAGGTCACAGTGGAGTAAAGGTCACTGAGGCTTGAAATTTACTTTTTACTATGGCTCCATTTGACTCATAGAGCATTTATTTATCAAAGATCTCTTGCTTGGGCCTTTAACTTTGGTTTTTGGCTTTGATATTGTTATAGCTTAGGTTACTGAGACTTAAAATCTTTTTGTGTTATCTCTATTAAATTTTTCTTTTATTGAGCAATGGGTCAAGGTTAATTATTGGTAATTTTTGTTCATTAACTATGTCACCAGATCCAATCAAATGAAAACATTACATTTTCACATGTTAAAGTGACATTATGCTCAATTATATTTCAAAAGGTTGACTGTTAAAATGGTGATTAATATTGGAAAATGTTTAGGATAAAAATATAAATCTGCTCAAAATATAAAAAGACTGCCTAACTTTTTTTATAAATTGAATGTTAAATTCCAATGGATATTAATAGAAGTTTTCTTGGGTCATGTGAGTTCATTCAAAGCTAATTATGAAATAGAAAGAATCATGTATACTCACTAACTATATACCTTAAGATGGGCATACTATCACTTTAATGTTGATGATTCAGGGATGTAAGGAAATGAGTTACCTGGGTGAAAACTACACTTCAAGCTAAGATCAAACGAATATCTTGTTCTTTGTCATAGGCTTACCGCTTGCACTTGCAAAAAGATTAGATGAAAAGTTAGCTTGAGGAGTGATTAAAATTTCAGGATGGCCCTCTTGTTCTGCTTTCCCTGAGTTTAGCATTTAATTATAGTTGTGTCAAAGTATAGTCAAAGAGGATCCTTTTCTATTGCAAATATTCTTGGTGTTTGTTTTACGGTTTTTAAGCTTCTAATTCATGCAAAGTTGAAGAGAATTCTCACTGCTTGTTTAAATTTTCTTCTTTACTAAATTTCCAATTAAGGACTTTTTCCGTTTTAATAATATTTAATTAAAAATAATTGTATTTTTTTTAAATTAAAAAAAATTATAATAAATAATTATATTTTTCTTCGAATTGACCATATGTGTTTTAAAATTTACTTAAAAAAATATTTAATTTAAATTAGAATTTTTTAGAATACTTCTGCAATAGGTGTAATTGCTAAAATAACCCGGAAGTTAAATTATTTCTTACTGTTGTTTTTATTTTATAAAACTTCGTACAAAAAAATGTACTAGCTGAGTGTCTGTACTGTATCAGAAAATTTTTGTTTAAACGTAATGAAAGATGATCTTAATTGTATTTTTACTTGATATTGTATTATTTTAATCTACCTTGGAAGGAGTACCAAGACTTAATCAGTTAATTAAAGAATGTGTGACTTTTGTAATTGTATTTATATTTCCTCTTTTGACTCATATTTGTAAATTGGCAGATGTTTGTAAACATTGACTGGAGATAGTCCACAACAGCCGCCAAAGCTACTGAGCACAATATTGGTGACCAAGAAATACAAAGACAACAATTTTTTTTCTTGTCTTGATTGTATGTTAAAGGTAGACATAAGTGATTTTGGAAAACTATTGAACGTAAGTGATTTGGGAAAACTATTGACCTTAAGTGATTTGGGAAAACTATTGAACTATTAATGCTTATTTGTGATGCATAGTAATTTCTTGTGATTCCCTGTTTATTTTAGACAGATGACATATGAGCCGCATCACGACAAAACCAACATAGTGCGTTTGCAACCAGCATGGGTCCAGACCAGCCTGCGCATCTGCGCAGTCTGATCAGGATCCATGCTGTTCGCTATCAGTTTCTCTACTTGTAATAGAGTTGGTAAGCGAACAGCATGGATCCTGATCAGATTGCGCGGATGCGCAGGCTGGTCTGGATCCATGCTGGTCACAAACACACTATGTTGGTTTTGTCGTGACGCGGCTCATATTTTTTTCGCTTTTTTATGTGAAGTCAAAGAAGAAAATATTTTGATTCATTGATGTTGAATTCTTTTTCAGGAATGTTATTACATTATATATAAATTTTATAGCTATTTATCAAGCTATGTTAGAAGTAAATAAGATATTTATTAGCAGCTTTATATAAAGTATAAGTTGTTTGGTATTGCTTGTTTTAGACAGAGATCATGTTCAGCTTGCTTTGGATGCAGATAGAAAACGACCTACAACAGTGCCTCAGGCTACCAGATCTGGGTCAAGGTCACCTAAAAATAGGTCACAGAAACCTTTAAATGCCAAAGATCGGTCTCAAGAAAATGAACATCTTAATACTGTTAAGACACCATTGGTGACACCAAGGTCACTTAAACCTGACTCAAGGTCACCAAGTGTATCCCCAAGGTCAACTTCACCAGTGCCCTCTATTTCGGTGACCTATACAGATGTAGGTGACCTTGGCACAGGTCAGGAGCATATATATGACAATGCAGTCCCTCAATCGAGGCATAGAAAGCATCGTGGTGATAAAAGGGATTTGCAGGGTTTGTAATGTTATGGCCTTGAACTTAGTGAATGAGGAATGTGGAGTACAAAATATTACATTAAGGAATGAAACAACTATGCATGGGTTCTCAGAATTTATTTTTCTTTATAATCATTTACAGGGACAGCTGGTTGGTAGTTAATAAATAATTGCATTTTTATGTTTCCAATATTCACTTTTTTTTCCCTCTTTTGTCTTTGCAGCTTGACATTACATATGCAATTTCTCTGTTTTACTAAAATTAGAAAATTGCTGATATCACTAAGTTGTGAAGGTGTTGTTTAATGATTTCGATATGGTATATGTACACACATGTCTGTTTTAAAGGAACCAGGAAATGTATGACATTTAATTATATATGATACACATTCATGCCACAATGTTACAATGTTGGAAATACAGGTTATATGTTTAAAAAAGAGTTATCCCAAGCATTGTGTATATCTTTGGCATTAGTATGTGACTGTATCATAATTGTTTCATAAATATATAAATAATGAGGAGTTTAAATGATCAGCATAAAAGGAAGTAACTCCATAAATATAGAAAATGCTATTGACACTCTTATATATGAAGTGTTTTTGAAATTGAAAAACAACAAACTAACAAAAAAAAAAGATGATAACATCTGATTGAATTGTAATTGAAACAAAACTTGTCATAGAACATGTTGAAAGAGGAAGAGGAACATAGTAGAATAAGAGTAAATTTATTTATAGATATTTATGTTATTTACTGATTATTAAGATAGTACTTCTTCCCTTTTCTTCTTTTGTATTTCTTTACATGAATGTGTGTGTTTTATATTTGAATTATTTGCATGCAATTCTAGTTACCTTCTCTTTGGTATTAATTATATGAGCCATTAAAACAGTCATGTTGACTGACATTAGCTATCAATGTTTACATTAAGTTTGGATTCTATATTAGAAAGCAAATCTAGGCAGCATTTACAAATTAAGACAGTTTTACCAACCTGCATGTACAGTGTCAACCTACATGGCATCAACCTATGTTCATCTGCAGCATCTATCAGTCTACTGGTTATCTAAAAATTTACCCAACATCTACCAATCTAAACAGTGGTTATCTGAACTGTCCCCAAATCAACTTTTATGTGTGTTCACTTGCTTGTTGAAATATTGAACAAGTGTTTGAGAAAACATGATTAAAATATTACGTACTAAAAAAAACACTAAAGGTTCCATGTTCAAGTTATATCTTGGAGACTGATTTTCAAGCTTTATTTTGCAAGAAAACCCAGCATTTCCTCACTGTAATTTCCTGGGTGTAAATAGATATCTGAGAGGGTCCATTACACATGTTCATTACATGTCATAAGGTGTAGACTTTATGTTTCTTTCTGAATGGAAGCAGCTTTGAAATTTCTGACTGTTCAAATATGCAGTTTCACTTTATGAAAAAATACTGATTTCTTGTCTCAAAGAAACATTCTTAGGATGGGTTAAGCTACAGTCTCACTTACATCACGGCAGAGCCCCGGTAGACGTCCGGGGTGATCTAGGAACGACCGGGAACAACCGGAGTACATCCGTAACTCTGCCGGCAACGTCCGGGATGATCCGGGAACATTCGGCATTCAACCCCAGATGAAATAAAATATTTAATATCACCGGGATGATCCGGGAAAGTATAGCTTTGCCGGCTTAATCCTTAGCTCTGCTGGGAACGACCGGGGTTATACCGGGGAAGCACCGTACCTCTGCCGACACAAACCGGGGATGAGCCAGGGTATGATATAGCCGGTAGAGCTACGGTAGAGCCCCGGTATATGCCGGCAGAGCCCCGGTAACTACAGGCAGAGCCCCGGAGGATAAAGGTAGAGTTACGGTTGATCCCAGTAGAGCCCTGGCATAGCCCGGATCATTTCAAAAGAATAACGACAATTTGCGATGATTGCACTTGTTTGTATTAAAACCCTTCCCATTTCCCTTCTATCCAGTATGGCATAAGGATTTTTCAGAAAATCATCATGAATTACTATTCTGGAACAATAGATTTTATATAAAATAAAAATTATGTATCAATGTTATCATTTTGGGCATTTTCAATCCACCGGGGCTCTGCCTGGATCGTCCCAGGCTCTGCCTGGATCAACCTGGGCTCTGCCTGGGTCAACCGGGGCTCTTCCGTTGTCATCGGGAACGACCGGGGAAGCATCGGCATGAACCGTAGCTTCACCTGGGCTCTGCCTGGATGATCTGGAGCACATCCTTGGTGGTTAGTTGGGAACTACCGTAGTGCTGCCTGGGTAAGTGTGACCGCAACAATAATTTCACCCCAGATCGTCCCGGATCATCCCGGTAACTTACTGGGATGGTCCTAGGCTCTGCCGGGAGTAAGTGAGACCGCAGCTTTACTCACTAGAATTAGGGTTCTGTACTGCATCCCATAATAGATAACAAAATATTAAAAATTGTAAGGATGGAAGGACTTTACTATTGTTTTTCAACCGATTGCAGATTACAAAAAGATTTGAGATTTAAGGCTGAGTGTTTGTGTCCAAGAGAAACAAATATCCACAACACTGCTTTTCAAAATATATATCACATATTTGAATGCAATCTGTTCAATAAAAATTGATGCTGAACTAATAAGTAGAAGTTTCATCCTTGAAATATATTGATTAGGTATTCAATATATAGCAAGTTTCAAAATATGTTGTCTATGATGTATGTATACTCATTTCATTTAAAACATATTACAGTTACATATTACTGAAAGCATATCATATACACTTGAACATATATATATCTGTATTGAGAAAAGTTTCACTGTGTACAAACAGATCGGAAATATGATATAAACAAGGAAGTAGTACTTAACGTTTAACATATCTCTTTTCTTCAATAGAAAATCTATTTTCTTGTTAGATTAATTAATGCATAATATGATATAAGTTGAATCATAATGTTTGTTTATTTATTTCTCGGATGAAGGAAATAAATGGTGATATAATTCTTGAATAATTCATTGCTATCTCCGAGGTCAGTTTGTTATATGTAATAGAATACTCCTATTTAATTTCCTGATGAAGGATGGAAAATTTTAACAAGATGAAATATATAATAAACGAAGAATTCTCTTTGTGTACAAGTCTATAGTTTAGAGAATGAAATAGAAAGTTTCAACAAGGTTATGGACATTCAAGGTGTTTGAATATTGTGAGTTTACAACACACCTGAAGCATGTTTCGTAAATTTACAGACTGGATTTTAGTTTTATTTCGGGGCAAAGACAATGGTGAAGGTATACTAACATTTTTTTTAAAATTTCTGGATAGTGTTTACCTAAAAAATAGATTAACTTATAAATGAATATCCACTATGAAATCGTGCACATTTTATTGTGATTTTGGAAAGAAAAGTGTAAAATATATAGGTACCTAGTCAGTTCTATATCAATTGTTTCATTTGAATTTGCCAAATTATTTGGGCTTATATGCTTAGTTATGATAGGCGTCACAGGTTTTGTGACTTATGTTCTTAAATAATGCACAGAAAGGTTCCGGTGTTCCTGATATTCTGGCATCATTATATGGCATGGATACTTACTAAATGACCTTAAAATATTAGCCAACTGAAAAGCCTATCCCCTTCCAAAAAAAATCAGATAAACTGAATAGGAGTAGGTTGATGATAAAATAGGAAAAGGATAATCATTTGTTGAGGTTACTAATGTTGTTAAGGAAATTTAAGAAAAAGGTTTCAGATAAGAAGCCCCTTATAGATGTCTGAAGGTGTTATTTCCCGTTATAGAAATGTCTGAAGGTGTTATTTCCCCTTATAGAAATGTCTGAAGGTGTTATTTCCCCTTATAGATGTCTGAAGGTGTTATTTCCCCTTATAGATGTCTGAAGGTGTTGTGTCTGAAGTTGTCAATTCCCCTTATAGATGTCTGTAGGTGTTATTTCCCCGTATAGATGTCTGAAGGTGTTATTTCTCCTTATAGATGTCTGAAAGTGTTATTTCCTCTTATAGAAATGTCTGAAGGTGTTATTTCCCCTTATAGTAATTTCTGAAGGTGTTATTTCCCCTAATAGAAATGTCTGAAGGTGTTATTTTCCCTAATATAAAATGTCTGAATGTGTTATTTCCCCTAATAGAAAATGTCTGAAGGTGTTATTTCCCCTTATAGATGTCTGAAGGTGTTATTTCCCCTTATAGAAATGTCTGAAGGTGTTATGTCCCTTATAGAAATGTCTGAAGGTGTTATTTCCCCTTATAGAAACGCTGTAGACGTTATATTTCCTTATAGAGATGTCTGAATGTAGTGTCTTTGACTCAAAATCCTCTCTTGTCACTGTAGTTAAAGTTTGAATCCATTTAGTACAGACATTGCATTCTTTCATGTGAGGAAGCTTTTTGTTTAGGAAATTGAAATAAAGATTATTCTGCTTACACATCCTTCTTTGTTTAAATAAGTTATGTAAAAATGATCTTTTAAAAAATTACTTTTATAAAATTATTTCCTTCATTGTCTGTTCTAATGTTGAAGAGTCACATAGATTACAAGAGGAAATTTAGGTCTTCCTCCACCTTTATATATTTGACAATCTTTGCATGGTTTCTTTGATTGACTTAACTTATATCAAGTATGTCAACTTCATGTTCTCTGTTTACTGAATTCAAACAGATCTCTCATGCTAGAAAGGTTGACTTGTTTCTGTTACTTACATAAATATTTGAATTTATTTCTTTAATATTTAACAGGAGAATCTGTGATTATATTTATAGGCAGTTGAATTATATATGCTATTTTTAGCTCACCTGTCACAAAGTGACAGGGTGAGCTTTTGTGATCGCTTTTCGTCCGGCGTCCGTCCGTCCGTCCGGCGTCCGTCCGTCGTCCGTCCGTCCGTAAACTTTTACTTTAAATGACATCTCCTCATAAACCACTAAGCTAATTTCATCCAAACTTCACAGGAATGTTCCTTTGGTGGTCACCTTTAAAAATTGTTCAAAGAATTGAATTCCATGCAGAACTCTGGTTGCCATGGCAACCGAAAGAAAAAACTTTAAATATCTTCTTTTAAAAAACAATAAGAGCTAGAGCTTAGATATTTGGCATGAAACATCTTCTAGTGAGTGTCTACCAAGTTTGTTCAAATAAAAGCCCTGGGGTCAAAATTGGCCCCGCCCTGGGGGGTCATTGATTTTCCCTATATGCATATAGTAAAAACTTAAAAAATCTTCTTTTAAAGAACCCAAAGAGCTAGAGTTAAGATATTTGGCATGAAACATGTTCTAATGGGTGTCTACCAAGTTTGTTCAAATAAAAGCCCTGGGGTGAAAATTGGCCCCGCCCCAGGGGGTCATTGATTTTCCCTATATGCATATAGTAAAAACTTAAAAAATCTTCTTTTAAAGAACTCAAAGAGCTAGAGCTTAAATATTTGGCATGAAACATATTCTAGTGAGTGTCTACCAAGTTTGTTCAAATTAAAGCCCTGGGGTCAAAATTGGCCCCGCCCCGCGGGGTCATTGATTTTCCCTATATGCATATAGTAAAAACTTAAAAAATCTTCTTTTAAAGAACTCAAAGAGCTAGAGCTAAGATATTTAGCATGAAACATGTTCTAATGGGTGTCTACCAAGTTTGTTCAAATAAAAGCCCTGGGGTCAAAATTGGCCCCGCACCGGGGGGTCATTGATTTTCCCTATATGCATATAGTAAAAACTTAAAAAATCTTCTTTTAAAGAACCCAAAGAGCTAGAGCTAAGATATTTAGCATGAAACATGTTCTAATGGGTGTCTACCAAGTTTGTTCAAATAAAAGCCCTGGGGTGAAAATTGGCCCCGCCCCGGGGGGTCATTGATTTTCCCTATATGCATATAGTAAAAACTTAAAAAATCTTCTTTTAAAGAACTCAAAGAGCTAGAGCTAAGATATTGAGCATCAAACATGTTCTAATAGGTGTCTTCCAAGTTTGTTCAAATAAAAGCCCTGGGGTCAAAATTGGCACTGCCCCGGGGGTCATTGATTTTCCTTATATGTGTATAGCAAAAACTTAAAAAAATCTTCTTTGAAAAAACCCAAATAGCTAGAGTTAAGATATTAAGCATGAAACATCTTTTTAGTGAAGTGTCTACAAAGTTTTGTTCAAATAAAAAGACCTGGGGTCAAATTGGCCCCGCCCCGGGGGTCATTGATTTTCTTTATATGTGTTTAGCAAAAACTTTAAATCTTCTTTGAAAAAATCCAAATAGGTAGAGTTTAGATATTAAGCATGAAACATCTTCTAGTAAGTGTCTACAAAGTTTGTTCAAATAAAAGCCCTGGGGTCAAAACTGGCCCGGCCCCAGGGGTGTCATTGTTTTTAACTATATGTGTATAGTAAAAACTTTAAAAAAATCTTCTTTTAAAAAGCCCAATGAGCTAGAGCTTAGATGTTTAGCATGAAACATCTTCTTATGGGTGTCTACCAAGTTTGTGCAAATAAAAGCCCTTGGGTTAAATTGGCCCTGCAACGTTGGGGGGGGGGGCCTATATACAGGTGAGCGACCTCAGGGCCATCATGGCCCTCTTGTATAGTTTGTATTAATAAATCTTAAGAACCTAGTTTTAACATTTACATGTTTTATTTTTTGAGGACTTATTTATTTAAAGTATATTTCTTTTCATTTGGGCACCATTTTGCATTGTTTCTGACTAAATGCCTACATTAAGAACATAGCGCAATTCAGGGCAGATATTTGTTGTTTTTTTTAAATTATACGTACCGTTTTCACAATGTTTTATCTGTTGGTACTTTATACCACATTTATATGTTATATAAGTATTTTTAAAGTGTTTGTCAATGCTACGTAAATGTTTATTCACAAATAATTCATGATTGTAATATATTATGCTGCAAAATATCAAATTTTAAAAAGATTTTTTATTTAGATTTGCCTAGATTTCAGGGGTATCCTGTTATATCATATAATTTATTAGATTTATGACATGGGAATTAGTTTTGTAAACATTTGTGAACATCTTGAACTCTTTACAAGTGCTATAAACTTTTTTTGTTATAAATACATAATTTAAGAATGCAAGGTTGAAATATTCAAGTTCATAACTTGACATCATTTGTGTTTATGTTTTATTTTCAGATGGATTAGAAGGACCAGGACCTAATATCCAATCAAAACCTTTACCAGCTAGTGCTACACGTAAGTCTTCAAGTATTTAGTCAGTATTAATAAATATGCATACATTCATTATAAGGTTGTGGAAAATATGGCATACATATTATGTATCTCGGCCTCAGCAGTATAGCAGTTTTAAAATGGTACGCATTCAAATATCATGGTCTCAATGGCTGAATAGTAAAGGTCACTTACTTTAAACCACTGGCCTCTTACCCCTGTTCAAATCCTGTTAGGAACATTTGATTCTTTCATGTGGGGAAGCTATCAAGCTTGCCTATGGAAAATCTGTGGTTCTGCTCAGGTGCCTGCATGTGCCTATAATGCAAAACCTCAGGTGTCCCACCTTTGGTCTTCTTTAACCAGTTTAGCTGGAAAGTTGTCATACGGCTTTAACAATGTTAGTGAGACTTAAAACCCGTCCAAAAAATGTAATGAAAAACATGTATTCATATGAATAAAAGCCACATAAAGGGAATTTAAGGTGCAGTAAAAGTAACCAATATGGAAGTTTCAAGGAGTTGCATTTTCACCTTAAGTTTGAGAGAAGCTTTGTAAAGGTGTTTTTTTGCTTTTGTGTATATTAGCTGCACTTATGTACATAATGCACAGTTAACTTCCTGTTTAATGTCTAGGTAATGCATGACTTACTGTAATGACAAAATCATTGTTAAGTTTCATATTTCATTTTAAAATGTGGTTTTAAACAGGAAATCTGCATTTACTTAAAAAAAAGTGCACTCAGGAAATTTTGATTTACCTTCAATAATTTTATCTTTTTTTTATAGTTCCAGATTTACAAAATATTGAATTGAATCCTGAAGCACCTAAATTGACTCATGTTAACAAAGATCGAGCTCGTAGACCGAAGAATGTTCGCCCAACCACCAGACAGTCGGGGATGCCAAGAACTCGATCTGAAAACACAATTAAGGTTAATCTTGTTATGCTTTTTAAGCTGATTTTTTTTAAGCATAATGGACATTAATTTTGTCCAATTAGGATCGTTCAGTTTTCAGGATGTCAGTTTTGAAATTGATTTAAGAGCATTTAAGAGCAGAACAAAATGCATGATTGCATTGGGAAGTATATGTACATGTGTTATGATTTGATGTTATGATTCTAAAGTTTTCATCCTCATGGGTATTTATAAATTTTGTACAACTTAAAAGGTTATATGAAACAATGAATTATCAGAGTTTATCAGGGAATTGTAACCTTTTTAGCTCGACTATTTGATAAGAATAAGTAGAGCTATTGTAGTCACCCGAGCGTCGGCGTAACCACTTATGTTAAATTTTTTTGTAATACCTCAAAAATTTTCAAAGTCCATTGACATATGGCTTTGAAACTTTGCACACTTCACTTGTTCACCATCATGACCCCAAGCTGTAGACAGGAGGAGGTAACTGTATCAAGCATTTTGACAGAATTATGCCCCTTTTTTGACTTAGAATTTACATTAAAGTTTTTTTAATCCCTCAAATATTTTCAAAGTCCATCGACATATGGCTTTGAAACTTTGCACACTTGTTCATCATCATGACCCCAACCTGTAGACAGAAGGAGGTAACTGTATCAAGTATTTTGACAGAATTATTCCCCTTTTCGACTTAACAACACCTCGAATATTTTCAGAGTCCATTGACATATGGCTTTGAAACTTTGCACACTTGTTCACTTTCATGATCCCAACCTGTAGACAGGAGGAGGTAACTGGATCAAGCATTTTGACAGAAAAATGCCCCTTTTTATCCCCCGTCCATCCGTCCTCCGTCCATCAGTCCGTCCTTCCATCCGACATTTTTGTCCGAAGCATATCTTAAAAAGTATTTTAGGTGGATAGACCTCATTGACGAGGAGTGCAATGCACAAGAATGATAACTCTACCCTGCATAATTTTTGAGTTATTGCCCTTTGTTATTTTTCAAAATTAATTTTTGTCCAGAGCTTAACTCAAAAAGCCTTTGAGATATCAACATGAAACTTCATAGGTGCATAGATCTCACACAGGACATGTGCAGTGCACAAGAATGATAACTCTACCTTTCATAATTTTTGAGTTATTGCCCTTTTTTATTTTTCATACTTAATTTTTCACCTGAGTGGAGCATAACTCAAAAAGTGTTTGAGATGTCAACATGAAATGTCATAGGTGGATAGATCTTATTGAGGAGGAATGCTGTGTGCAAGATTGATAACTCTTCCCATTATAATTTTTGATTTATTGCCCTTTGTTCTTTTTAGTCCCCTACCTATTTAACCGGAGGGGACTTTAGGTTTACCCTCCCTCCGTCTGTCCATCTGTCTGTCAGTCCGTCAGTCCGTCCACAAAACTGGATCCCGCGATAACGCAAAAAATACTGAAAATATTTTTATGAAACTTGATATATGGATAGATGGCAGTATGGAGATTATGCATGTCTTCTTTTTTTCTTCCTATGTTGAAAATTCTGGTTGCTATGGCAACAAATAGTCTGAAAATATGGCAAATTTAACACATAAACTGGGTCCAGTGATAACTCAAAAAGAACTGAAAATATTTTTATGAAACTTGAAATATGGGTAGATGCCAGTCTGGAAATTATGCACACCTTTTTCTTTTCTTCCTATATTGAAAATTCTGGTTGCTATGGCAACAAATAGCCTGAATTTCAAGATTTCTGATTTAAATTTTTCAGCTTTTTCACTATAAGTTCTTTATTTCTTAAGGTGTTTACTTCAAACTTTAAATATAAGTTTCTGGTCATCAACCACATCATATGTGACAAGGTTTACAACTCTAGCACAAAAATTATCAGTATTACCTCCCTTGAACTTAGAATTTTTATGAAAAAAAAATGTTGTCTTTTTAAAATAACTTCTTTATTTCCTAATGTATCTACTTCAAACTTCATATATATGTTTCTTATTATCACTCAACATTTTTGAGAAGGTTAAATACTCTAGCAAGACTATTTCCAGAATTATGTCCCCCTTGAACTTAGATTTTTTTTTGAGAGATTGGTATTTTTCACTCCAACTTCTTCATTCCGGTATCCGGACAATTCCCCTCCCGGACGAATCCCCTCCCAGTAAATTTGAATGTTTCTTCACAACCCGGACATTTCCCCTCCCGTTATTTTTTTACGGCGGACAATACCCCTCCCGTTAATTTTACAGGGCGGACAATTCCCCTCCCGTTATTTTAGCAGAGCGGACAATTCCCCTCCCGCTGTTGTCAGAGCGGACAATTTCCCTCCCGTGGCTGTTGTACATATATATGTTATAATATTGTTTATTTGAGCTGTTGAACATATATATGTTATAATATTGTTTATTTGAGCTGTTGAACATATATATGTTATAATATTGTTTATTTGAAAGGTATTTTTAATCGACTTTAAATACATTTTGCTTGTCTATATTGACATGAATATAAACAAAACAAAGCGCATTTTTTTGTTAAAATAATCTTTATTTCGTCAATACATTTCTGCAGCTGTAAAATAATTGTAATTAATTGGTTTTGCGATCAAGGATACATTTAATTAAGGGCAGCATTGATTAAAGATTTTTTATTGACAGTTTGTTTATCTTAAGCAGCGGCGGCAATAATTTAAGGCGGTATAATGTCACCTTTGTAAAATAATGATTCTTAAAAGTTCCGATCTTTAACAGTTTGTTGTTAAGTGTAAAAACTGTCATCTTTAATAAGAATGGTTATGGATTTTTTTTATTACAGTGGCGGCTATGATTAAGGGCCGTATAATGTCACGTCGGCTCTGATAAAAAACGGGAGGGGAATTGTCCGCTCTGCTAAAATAAAGGGAGGGGAATTGTCCGTCCTATAAAATTAACGGGAGGGGAAAGGTCCACCCTATTAAAAGAACGAGAGGGGAAATGTCCGGGTTGTGAAAATGATATGGAAGGGGAATCGTCCGGGAGGGGGATTGTCCGGGATTCCTTCATTCCTTATAGGATTTACTTTAAAATCCCACATCGTAATAATATGACAAGGTTGTATAAACATAATTTCCTTACTAGGCAGGGAAACATAACACATTACTGTGATATAGACAAACTTAAAACTCAAAAGATTTAAGTTCATTCATGTCATTCATTCACTGGTAAAATTGAATGGCCAATGGCCCATCAGAATGTTGCTGGGGTTCTAACCGGTAGGGGACTTATGGATTGCTTGCAATACTATGATAATTGCTTGTTCATACTATTTTGTACAAAGCTTATCTCAAAAGTATTTGAGGTATCAACTTGAAACTTCATAGGTGGATGGATCTCATTAAGGAGGAGTGCAGTGCACAAGAATGATAACTCTACCCTGCATAATTTTTGAGTTATTGCCCTTTGTTATTTTTCAAAATTAATTTTTGTCCTGAGCATAACTCAAAATGCCTTTGAGATATCAACATGAAACTTCATAGTTGCATAGATCTCACTCAGGACGTGTGCAGTGCATAAGATTGATAACACTACCTTTCATAATTTTTGAGTTATTGCCCTTTGTTCTTTTTCATACTATTTTGTAGGGAGCTTATCTCAAATAATATTTGAGGTATCAACTTGAAACTTTATAGGTGGATAGATTTTACTGAGGAGGGGTGCAGCACACGAGAATGATAACCTACCCTGCATTATTTTACAGTTATTGCCCTTTGTTATTGTCAGCCATCAGTATTCACATAGGTTTCAAATCTGTAATCACTTCAGCCATCAGTTTTGATTACCAAAAGACCTCTTAAAATTGAATTATTCTGCTCTACTATTATTATATACATTCTTCCAATGAGCAAACACATTTGGCGGGGGATGGCCATGTTGACATGGCTCTTGTTCGACTTAGAATTTATGTTTAAGTTTTTATAACACCTCAAATATTTTTAAAGTCCATTGACATATGGCTTTGAAACTTTGCACACTTGTTCACCATTATGACCCCAACTTGTAGACAGGAGGAGGTAACTCTATTAAGCATCTGGCAGAATAATTCTCCTTTTTCAACTTAGAATTTACATTTAAGTTTGCATACCACATCAGATATTTTCATATTCTATTGACATCTGGCTTTGAAACTTTGCACTCTTGTCCACCATCATGACTCAAACTTGTAGACAGGAGGAGGTATACTCTTCTTTGAGAGCATAATAGGACTCTCTTCAAGGCCTATAACTGTAACATGGATTTAAAGAAAAAAATTGCCTTTTTCTTAACTTAGAAAATTTTACATTATCAGGGCTCTTTTACTATCAAGCACTAAGAATAGTGGAGCGTTCCTGTCCTACCGACAGCTCTTGTTCATTGTATTGCACTCAAACATTTTTCCTCAAGTGGCATAAAATATAAAGAAAATGAAACTTCTGTTGGTCTTTATGGAATATTTGAAACATATCTTGTTATCGAATGCCATTGCCATATATTTTGCTTGTGGTTCACATGGTAAAATTATCTGAAATTTCTGCCATGACAGTAAGATATAAGCCATATTGTTAGCTGAAATGACAATATCTTCATTATTTGTTTGTATTGAAAACATAACAGGTTGATGAAAATGTTGAGGATTTCTTCTCTAAACCGTCAACACCATCTCTCACAAGTGTATCGGAGAAGAAAGAGGAGACGCCAAGTAAGAGTTCCAGGTATGTTAGGGTGATTTAAAACGAGCTTCTTCTGTTATAACCATGTATGAATGATCAATCAACTGGGCACTGGACTATAAATCAATTCATAGTGATACTATAATTATCTACCTTCCATTATAAAGCTGCTTTCCTCCAGATATATGTAAAAATGTATTAATGCAAAAATAAAAAGCTTTTAAAATTTAGTTTATGTTAAAAGAAAAAGATATTTTCAAAACTTTTTCATTGCTTCAAGTACTTTCAATTGCATTTCATACTTTTATACTTGTAAGATTTGCCGTAAACACTTAAAAAAGTACCACACAATTGGAACTTATAATTTAGATAAAGTCAATAAAATTATACTTTACGATTAACATATTCAAATGTCACACCATGAACAATGTCAATTTTATCATCCATAGTTTTAAAGATCAACTGCCACAATATTTTTTGTTTTGTTTTGTCTTTTGATGCACTTTATTGGAAATTGGAGGCTACAGTATAAACCCTCTTTGTGTAAATTATCAACTTTTTTATCTATAAATTTTAGAAAATGCAAGTACATTTTTGTGTAAATTATCAAATTTTATTATCTATAAATTTTAGAAATACGAGTACATTTTTGTGTAAATTATCAACTTTTTTTTATCTATAAATTTTATAAAATGCAAGTACATTAAGTATATTTTACTGTGTGTGTATAGAGATAAATATATAATCCCCAATAATAACCAAGACAACAATGATATGAGTTGATTTATAGTTTGGTGAACACATTATGTGCCTTTGTAAACTATAACTGATTTTGCTAGAGTATCAATACTAGAATGTTTACTTTATATAATCCTTATTATCTAAACCAAAATACAGAGTCCTGTCATGTCAAAATGTACTTGGTATCTATACTGATAAATAATCTGAAAGAAATATACAGACTCTGATAAAAGGCCTCTTTTCTCTTTCTCTTGAAATTTTCTTTAAAACATGCAATTTTCCCAAAAATCCAAACTTAAACCTGCTTTTTTACTTCCCAAATTGGCATTTTTTTGCGATAATTTTCACAAAATAAAAGGGTAACACCTCTTCCCAATTAAGTGAAGAAAAATCACTTAGATTGGAATATTAAATAAGTTAATTTGGACTATTTGGTTAACAATTTGTAATGTTGTACAGTACATTGTTTAGATTTCACAAGATTTAACTTGAGATACCAAAATGTATAAAATAGATAACTGTCATTGCGTGTGACCTAAATCACTGACAAACAAGAAAAGTAAGATCTTTTTTCTGAAACAGTGGACTGGTACCTTTTAACATGACACTTCTAAATTCATAAAGAGAAATATATGTGTTTGATTGCAGTGGCTTTCAGTGCTGGTTGTATCTATTCATGATATCATTACATATTCTAAACTTGTGTGAAGATATTGTAATTATTCATACATCATATATTAGTGTAACTTCATAACTGAATAGCAACAAGGCCAAGTACAGGTGAATGATTTATTTATTTAGTGGTTCTAAAGCCTAGGTATGTTGTTTTATCCCATATTTATTCTCTATTTACCAGTACAGAAGGACAATTTTTGTTAAGTCTTACTTAAAATCACCAGAGCACAGACTCTAGGTGAGCTGTTGTGATCAATATATGTCAGTTGTCTGTAAATATTACTTTTATAAATTTTCCTTAATTTCTTGGCCAATAATGATGAAACTTTGCAAGAATTATCCTCGGAAGGTCCTCTGTAAAATTGGTCAAATGGTTCTGGTTCACAGAACTATATGGATGCCAGACCTAAATTTGAAAAAACAAAACAAAAAAACGACAACTTTAAATAAAATCTCCTCCTCACGCAATTGGTAGAATTTTTATGAAACTAAACAAGAATGATCCTTAGATAGTACTGTATAAAAGTTGCTCAAATGATTTCAATCCCCTGAAGAAGATGACTTCCAGAGCTAAAAAACAGAAAAACTTAAATGACATCTGCTCAACCACATGGTAGATTTTGATTAAACTGTACAGCAATGTTCATTTACATTTTAAGGTAGTTCTACACAAAATTTGCTCAAATAGTTCTGGTCTGTTAAACAAGATGTAAATAGAAACAAGCTTAAAATGGCATCTCCTCCTCGGTCACTTGATGGATTTTGATGAAAACTCTACAGATGTGATCCTTTTGTGGTCCTTTACTAAAATGCTCAAATGGTTCTGTTTCACTATACAAGATGGTTTCCAGAGCTAAAAATCAAATACCCTTAAAACAACATCTCCTGCTGAACCATTTGATAAATTTTTATGAAACTGTATAGAAATAAACATTTGGTAGTCCTTTACAAAAATCTCTATAATAGTGCAACTGTTGAACCAGGAATATCCTGGTAATTAAATCTTGTCCGTGTAGAACATTTCCTCTGGTGAGCATTTAAGGGCCATCATGATCCCTCTTGTTTTTGGTAGGTTGTTTTGGGTTAATTATGTTAAAAGTTACAATATTCTTGAAGGATATACCCTAGAAACTGAACAGAATATTGTTTGCCCTAAATATTTTCTTCAACAATGTACTTTAATGCAAAAATAGTGAACAGTTATGCTGGCTGTAGAGATATTTACAAGCTTCTTTAATGCTTCCAATCAAAGTCAATTCTAAGATGGGTCTTAAACAAAGTAAAACAGCTGTACCTTTCATTTGTCTCTACAGGTATAGGTAAAATTTCATCAAAGATACTGGTTTGGTTGCAAGTTATTGACCCAAATAAAATAAGGAGCCACAATAAATGCTTTGTTAACTTAATGTAGAAAGTATGATAATGTAGAGGTTAAGCTATATAATATTTACAGTACAAAATCAACACCAGAAAGTAAGAAAAAAATGGGAGGAATATTTAACTTTGGTCACAAAGACAAAGAACAAAAAGACACAAAAGCAAAGGAGTCTAAAAAGTAAGTACTGTATGTGAAAAATGTGGAATTTACCAGTTATCAAAGAAGAAAATCATGGACGGTTAGGATGATAGCTATATTTTTGTTTCATTTACAACATGATGTGTCATCATTTTCCTATACTCTAATATAGACTTACCTGTCTTTTCTTATATAATCAGTTTATTTTTATTTTTTATATGCAACAGTAAAAATGTACTGCTAAATTTCCTTAGTATATTCATAAATAAATATATAAAAAAAAAATTGATAAATTTAATACATTAATTAAACTTAGATTTTCTTGGATTACATTACATGTTATCTTTACATATAAAGCTAGTTACTTCTTATTTAACCAAACTCTTTGGATATTAATTAGAATAAAGTAAATTAAATTTCAAAGATGTTTTATTTTAGGTAATGGTAGGTACTGAATTATTGTATCTCTAAAAAAGTAGTCTAAAAATCTTGATATTTAAATCTGTAGTTATTTAAACTTATTTAAAGTCAGATTTTAAACTTAAGAATGTTAGATTATCAGAATTAAGGAAGAGAATAGGTTAGTAACAATTTATATCACAGTTTGAACGAGACCATTTTGATGTCAGATCTCAAGTAACTGCATTTTCTGTAACAAAATGAATTTGTTCAATTTTAGGGGAGGTTTATTGTCAAGACTTCACGGCAGCAGCTCCCCAAAATCCAGCCCATCTCCAAAACATACCAGGATATCAGATGTTCAGGTGAGTTACCGGGTAATTTGTTTGATTTCATTTGGGAAACAGGGGAAAAATTTAATAAACATTACATTTATCTTTCTTAAATGAATTTCAGACATGATCTTAAATGATCTTAAGCTCAACTACAAATAAACAAACATTGTAGTTGTTCATTTATAAAGATCAGCAACCATGCCAAGATATTGCAAAAACTTTCTTCACATGTGAACATGTAATTCAAAAACCACTATTTCAAATTATGTGATTTTTTTTTTACGAATCTGCTTAAAAAAGTCAAGACTAAAATATCTTGTATAAACCTTGATAGTCATATTGTCAAATTACATCAATTTTTTGAGTTCCATCACATGTTACACAAACAGGTAAAAATTTCTTTTTTGAGTTCCAACACACGTTTCTTAAAAAAGTGGCATATAGATTTTCCTGTTGTCAATCTGTCTCAATGTCTTGCTGTCTGTCTGTAGACTGACAAAGTAGTGTAATATGAAGACAACTGTGTCCTGTTGACTTATTTCTAGTTTAGCTCTATAGCATAATAATTTCATTCATTTTAGAAAAGATCTTCATAAAACCCTTTTGTATGAAACTAGTTTAAGACATAATATTAATTTTCCATCAGAATAGTAATTTTTCATGATCACCATTCTAATATTATAGTACCAGAAAATAGTAAGTAACTTATTTAAAGATTCCATTTTCTTCACTTTTATTTCTTAATTGGGTTTCTAGGAAGAGCCTGAAGATTCATCCAACAATAACAATGCTCTTTCAAGAAGTTCAAAGGAAAAGCCTTCACCACGAGGAAGTATGGACAAAAAATCAGAGAAACCAAAGAATGAGCCAACAGCAAGCCTACCAAAAACTGCTGCAGAAAATGTTTCATTGAGTGGTAGTTTAGGCAAAAAATCTGATAAATCTGACAGTATCAGTGAAAAATCTGTTGAATCACTTAGTTTAAGTACAAAGTCTGATAAATCCAACAGCCTTGACAGAAAATCTGACAAGTCAGGGGACAAGTCACCTGTTATTGTTGAAGAAAACAAGTCTGAGGATAACGAGGATTCTGATAAATCAGAGAGCGGATCAAGTAGTGAAAGTGAACCAGAAGAAGACACCAAGAAAGAATCTAGTAAAGAGATGGAGAATGGTGATGTGAAGAAGGAAGTAAAGACACCTCTGCAACCACCGAGAACTAAGAGATCATTTAGTAAAGCAGATGCTAAAAAGGAGACTGCCACAAATGAAACTGTGAAAGACAATGCAGAAGAAAAAGAAAATACAAAGGCTGAGAAAGAAAGCAAAGAGACAGAAGAAACAAATGATAAAAACAAAGAAGAAGTTAAGGAAGAATCTAAAGGTAAAGAATCTTAATTTTATAAAGGTATTAGGTCATCGTACACAAATATGAGGGTGGGTCAATATATAATGCAAAATGAAGTAAATTTTCTATATTTAGCTCATGATTCTTGTGTTTGTGTAAACTTTGCTATGCTTCAAAGCATCTGCTTTCAAATGATACCAAAATCATGTGTGTAGAGGCCTGTGTTTTTTATGACAAGAGTATAAAAGGATTAGGGTTGGCCATTTTTCAGTTAATGAAAGTGATACCCAAGAAGCATTCAAAAATTGGATTAAACATCTATAACTTTGTATTTCTGTAGGACATTATTTCAAGGGGTTGAAATAGAAAACTGTAAAATATTTGCTATTTTTATGAATTAATTAACTCTATTGCTTTTCATATTGACCCACCTGTGGTAAAGAGATTAAGTAAATAAATGATTTCAGTAATATCATCATTCATAAAGATGTTACTATAATTTCTGCTGCCTTATTGAGTTTTGGTTGTTTTGTTTGATATATAAAGCAGCATTATAATTATATACATTTGCAGAAAGTTTGATAAAAAAAGTCATATTCCTGATCTTTAAGCCTTCAGCTTATATTCTTTGAAACAATTCTTGAATTTTTACAAAGGCTGTCCAAAATTCTGCATGTTTTTGTTAACCAGGTTTTCCGAAGGAAAAAACTGGTTATTAGATTGAGGTATGTCGGCGGGCGGGCGGTCGGGCGGGCGGGCGGACGGGCGGGCGGGCGGGCGGGCGTAAACAATTTCTTCTGTGCGCAACTCCTCCTACATTTCTCAACGGATTTTGACCAAACTTTCACAGAAGCTTTGTCATCAAGTGCCCTGGCGCATATTGTCGGGGTTTTGCGATTAGATAATATTTGACCTAATTATGGCCCTTTGTTTTTTTTTTCCTTATATAAAATATATAGTGAACAATTTATTCTGTGCGCAACTCCTCCTACATTTCTCAAACGGATTTTGACCAAACTTTCTCAGAAGCTTTGTCATCAAGTGCCCTGACACATATTGCCAGGGTTTTGCAATTGGTATATATTTGACCTAATTATGGCCCTTTGTTTTTTTTCCTTATATAGAATATATAGTGAACAATTTCTTCTGTGCGCAACTCCTCCTACATTTCTCAACGGATTTTGACCAAACTTTCTTAGAAGCTTTGTTATCAAGTGCCTGGCACATATTGTCGGGGTTTTGTGATTGGATAATATTTGACCGAATTATGGCCCTTTGTATATTTTTTCCTTATACAGAATATATAGAGAACAATTTCTTCTGTGCTCAACTCCTCCTACATTTCTCAACGGATTTTGACCAAACTTTCTTAGAAGCTTTGTTTTCAAGTGCCTGGCACATATTGTCGGGGTTTTGTGATTGGATAATATTTGACCGAATTATGGCCCTTTGTATATTTTTTCCTTATACAGAATATATAGTGAACAATTTCTACAGTGCGCAACTTCTCCTACATTTCTCAATGGATTTTGACCAAAACTTTCACAGAAGCTTTGTCATCAAGTGCCCTGGCGCTCACTAAATTCCCATGTTTCTTCCAAGACATCATTCAAGTATTTTTTTAAAATTGTGAACATACTTTTCTTGATATCGCACAAAACACCACACGCCAATATTGTTGACAAAAGAAAATGACAAGAGACGCAAAAATGCAAAAATTAAGCAAAAATAAAGTACTGTTTACCTTTCTAAAACATTTGGGAAAAAAAGGCGAATAGACAACATAAAATTTCTCAATCATTATTGTTTGAGGAATATTAAAAAAGCCATAATTCCTCCTAAAAGTTCAATTAAAAACAAATGCCCCTTCATGACAAAGCTTCTGTGAAATATTTTGCTGAAAACCTGGTTGCATCGCATTGCGATGTTCCTTGTTTCCTTTTAGACTCATAATTTAATACTAGACTCAAAATTTTGTAATTTAGATAAGAAGTTCTTTTGTTAGATACGATATAGTATAACTATATTGTCAACTTGATTGGCATTTACCTTGACATAAGTATAATAAATAAATTGATATTTACCTTGACATTAATGTAACAGATATTTACCTTGACATAAACCTTAATATATTAGATATAAACCTTGACATTAATAGAACAAATATTTACCTTGACATTAATAGAACAAATATTTACCTTGACATTAATAGAACATATATTTACCTTGACATTAATATATTAGACATTTTCTGTGACATAATATTTAAGATATTTAACTAGATATAGATGTATTTGATATATACCTTGACATTTATATAACAGATATTTACCTTTACATTAATATATTAGACATTTTCCTGACATTAATATATCAGATATTTGCCTTGACATAATATATTAGATATTTACCTTGACATTAACATATTAGATATTTACCTTGACATTTATATAGCAGAAGCAGAAAGTGAGAAAGATAAAGAGGAATCAGACAAAGTTGATGAGACCAAGCCATTGAGTGTACCTAGAAAACCTGGTATGCCAGGAGGTATTGGATTTGGTGTGAATATAATGGCTGATTTGAAGGCAAAGCAGGAGAAAAGAAGGTCCCAGGTAATGCTTTATCTGTATCTACTTTAGTTCCTTTAGAGCACTTTGATAATACTTTAATAAGATTTAAATAAATATAAGTCTTTTAAAAACATTTTTTTGTTTGTTTCATTTTATGCCTGTTCCCAACAGTATTTCAGTCAAATAGGTGGGTATTTCGTTCCTGGAGAGTTACACCAGTACTAGCCTACCTTCCTCCGTGCTAAACTACCAAAGCATCTCCCGGGGATCGAACCCACGCCAGAGAGGTAACTGGATTAGAAGTCATCGACTCTAACCCCTCGACCACGGAGGCGATTAAAAAAAAACAACACATTTTTACATATTTGGGGTTGTGCTATTGATCAGTAATATAAACAATTTCAATTTGTACATGACTCTTAACAATGTCCCCACAGTTTCACAAATTCAGAAGTTTTGATTGTTGTTCTTCGATTCAGCATACAGAATTAGATTTGTGTTATAAATAGCATTGTATACAACATTTAAAGTAACAAGTGTGCTAAAAGTAAGTGCTCATTGTACACTGCTTAATATAGTCCTGAAATTTTCTTTGACAGAATTAGCTATATTTAATATACAAAAGACTTAGAATTAAACTGTATGTACCATTCTCATATTGTTGCATTTCTCATGGTTTGTCATTCTCTGTCAACAAACTTTATGAACTAAAATGTGTTTACAAATTAGTAAATAAAATAGAAATAAGATAATAATGAAAGTGGTTTATAGTATTTGAAGATGTGATAGAAACAGCAGGTGAATGTTGTAGTACAGAAAAACTAATGCAATTATACTATTAAAAGTTGGTTTGACAAGAATAGGGAGGAAATTCATAGCACTTTTTATCATATATTATACAAATATGGACTTTTTAGCTGTTGAATATGATGTGATATGTACTGAAAAAATTAATATTGACCAAGGCGATAGCCGAGGTCAATATTTATTTTTCAGTATATATCACATCATATTCAACAGCTAAAAAGTACATATCTGTTTTATTATATAATTTATAAATAGCTTTTGTATGGCTTATTACATCTGCCATTGCATAAGACAGAAATCATTATTTTTCAGCTTGTCTACTGTTTCCATAATTTGGCCCTTTCCATATACATGCTAATCCCTATGGTTCTTAAAAATGTAAAACGGTAACTAAAATATACTAATTTGACTCTTATGTAAACGCACTCAATGTTTTTTCAGAATAATAACAACAAACTTGGCATGACGTCATGTCAAAGTCTCGCGTCGTTAAGGGATTTCCAGAATATCTATTTTTAGAAGAAAAACCGGTGAATATACTCTGAAAATCTATTTTTAGGAAAAAAACAGTGAATATACTCTGATATTGACTTGTTATTTTTTACAAAAAGTTGCTTGTTAGCCAATCAGGGAAAGGCATTTCAAAGCTATTTATAGATTATATAATAATAAGTAATGTACATTATGCTTCATCATTCTAAATCTTGCAATGTGTTGTATCTCAGTTGGAGTTTTCCTTACAGTTGCTCAGAAATATATATATAAATAAAAAGAGACTTTAAGATTAAGAAATTTCATTCTTTATTGAACAGATGCCCAGCAAGCCTACTGCATCAGATAAAACAGAAAGCCAAAGTTCTGCAACTGAAGAAAAGAAATCACCATTTGGTTTACACAGCCTGAAACCAGTATCAAAGACTGTACCAAAAGAGAACAATAATCTACCTGTAAAACCTTCAGATAACAAATCCAGTGATACAGTAAAAACTGCAGCAGACGTACCACTTAAATCTAGAGCAGGAAGTGGAAGTTCTGACACTAAAACTGTAACTCCTCCCCCTAAAGCAGATGTAAAGGTCACTAAGAACAATTCTATAAAAGATTCTGCAGCTGATAAACCATCTGTGACACCTAGACCAGGTGTGTAATCTTTTACTACTTAATATTGATATTTTATGTTCATTTTACTACTTAATATTGATGTTTTATGACTATTTTACTACTTAATATTGAAGATTTTAAAATTTGTAATCTTAAATTTGGTTTCCATGGTAAAATAGTGGATGTTTCAATGGCAAATATTGAATCATTTGTTCCTTACTGTTTCTGGTTGGCATCCACTCTGAAATCTCTCAGATTTCATTAGAAAAAGCCTGATTTCAATAATGTTTCTGCCCCCTTGTGTTTGAGGGGTTGCCTTTAAAGATTGTGGTCACCATGTATCCCTGCGTGATTGTAAGAGGCAACTAATGGTTGTGAATTACTGGAGTCAATGCATCTCCAAACTTCAGCAGGTGATGTGGTTTTGCTATAAGTGTGTAACCCCTGAGGTTAGCTAAAATCATCTTCTCTCTTTCTGTACCATATGACCTTAATTGTGTTGGTGTGCCTTAAAACAAAAAGAAAAAACAAATAATAATGTATTTGTGGGGTGTTTTTTACAATGTCTTACTTGGTTTCAGGTTTGAACAAACCTCCTCCTCCAACCCGACCAAAACCACCAGTTGCCAGTAGCAAGCCCACTCCAGCTCCACGAAAAAGTCTGTCTAGCTCAGAAAGTACTGAGAATGGTATGTATTTAAATGATGATATATACAGAATATTTGAGCCGCGTCATGACAAAACCAATGTAATGCGTTTGCGACCAGCATGGATCGAGACCAGCCTGCGCATCCGCGCATTCTTATCAGGATCCATGCTCTTCGCTATCAGTTTCTCTACTTGTAATAGAGTTGGTAAGCGAACAGCATGGATCGTGATCAGACTGCTCGGATGCGCAGGCTTGTCTGGATCTATGCTGGTCGCAAACGCACTATGTTGGTTATGTCATGACGCAGCTCATATACAGAATATTTGATACTTTTCTTACATCCAATATATCAAGTTTGTAAAATTAGGCATATTTTTGTCTCTCTTAATGTGGGCATAAGATCCAGTATAGATCAGTTCAATCAGGAGTCAGTTAGCAGCAAGGGTAATGAAAGTGACGGAGAATGTCAGATTTATACAAGTTATTGGTGGTCATGTCTTTAACCTAGTTTTCAAACTTGTTAATAACTAGGGGACATAACTTATGCGGGTATTTGATATATAATTAATTGTATAAGTAATTTATAAAGTTTGCATTGCTATAATTTAGCCAGAGTTTTTGCTGAATCTGCTTCCTATTAGTTTGTCAGTATTCAAATGTAGCAGCTTGTTATTACTTCTAATAAGTAATATATATTTAATATGGTAATGAATGAAAGTGTATATTTTATCTGGGAGACACATGTATATATGTGAATTTATATTGCTTTACTCTGTACCATCTCTTTTTAAAACTAACAAAGAAATATTGTGTAGATTTTTTCAATAAAGAGAAATAGTGTAGTACATTACTAGCTACATTAAATTTCAACAAAAAAAATGATATACCTAACTGCACAGCAGCTATTGTGCATGCTTCTTATGGGATATACAAAAGAAGAAATTTCGTTAGCAAGAAAGAACTAGTAAAAAATAAGTAGTCAACTGCAAATTCTTAAAATTCCCTTTTATATACCAACAGTTTGACTGAACCAGTATAATATTAGCAAGAAATGAAATACAGAAAATAATTAAATGTTAAATGACATTGATAATATACAAGTTTTTAGCTCGACTATTCGCAGAATAATCGAGCTAATGCAGTCACCCATTTGTCGGCGTCGGCGTCCCTGTGGTTAAGTTTTTGTATGTAAGCTGGTATCTCCATAACTACGGAAGGGAATGGATTGAAACTTCACACACTTGTTCTCTGTGATTATCTAAGATGATTGGCACAAGTCCCATAACTCTGATTTGCTTTTTTTCATAATTATGCCCCTTTTTCGACTTAGAAATTCTTGGTTAAGTTTTTGTATGTAAGCTGGTATCTCCATAACTACTGAAGGGAATGGATTGAAACTTCACACACTTGTTCTCTGTGATTATCTAAGATGATTGGCACAAGTCCCATAACTCTGATTTGCTTCTTTTCATAATAATGCCCCTTTTTCGACTTAGAAATTCTTGGTTAAGTTTTTGTATGTAAGCTGTTATCTCCATAACTACTGAAGGGAATTGATTGAAACTTCACACACTTGTTCTCTGTGATTATCTAAGATGATTGGCACAAGTCCCATAACTCTGATTTGCTTCTTTTCATAATAATGCCCCTTTTTCGACTTAGAAATTCTTGGTTAAGTTTTTGTATGTAAGCTGTTATCTCCATAACTACTGAAGGGAATTGATTGAAACTTCACACACTTGTTCTCTGTGATTATCTAAGATGATTGGCACAAGTCCCATAACTCTGATTTGCTTTTTTACATAATTATGCCCCTTTTTCGACTTAGAAATTCTTGGTTAAGTTTTTGCGTGTAAGCTGGTATCTCCATAACTACTGAAGGGAATGGATTGAAACTTCACACACTTGTTCTCTGTGATTATCTAAGATAATTGCCACAAGTCCCATAACTCTGATTTGCTTTTTTACATAATTATGCCCCTTTTTCGACTTAGAAATTCTTGGTTAAGTTTTTGCATGTAAGCTGGTATCTCCATAACTACTGAAGGGAATGGATTGAAACTTCACACACTTGTTCTCTGTGATTATCTAAGATGATTGGCACAAGTCCCATAACTCTGATTTGCTTTTTTACATAATTATGCCCCTTTTTTGACTTAGAAATTCTTGGTTAAGTTTTTGCATGTAAGCTGGTATCTCCATAACTACTGAAGGGAATGGATTGAAACTTCACACACTTGGTCTCTGTGATTATCTAAGATGATTGGTACAAGTCCCATAACTCTGATTTGCTTTTTTTGCATAATTATGCCCCTTTTTCGACTCATGAATTCTTGGTAAAGTTTTTGCATGTAAGCTTGTCTCTCCATAACTACTGAAGGGAATGTATTGAAACTTGAAGAGTTTGTACCTTTTCGGACAATTTTATGTATTCATATAGGTAAGCATTATTATACTCAATGAAACACCCTTGTGACAAATTTTCGAATAGTCGAGCGTTACTGTCCTCCGACAGTTCTTGTTTTATTTGGTGATTGGACACTATTTCTTTCAGATTTCTTTTCAGCGATCTCTTATTATAATTTTTTTTTAATTTATGCGTTAGCTGGTTAATAAAGATGTATACTTTATATGACATATTTAGAATGCATGAGTTATGTAGGATTGGTATAATATATTATTAATAAGCAGAATATACAAATATTTTATTCTATATATTCAACCAGTACGCTATAGACACTCATATGGTAAGTTACTTTAAGGCATGCCTAAAACTGATTTGGGTCAAAGGCTTTTTTACAGATCTTGAAACCAGTCTGCATGTAACATTTGATCCCATTAAAAAAAAGTCTTGATCTTTAACCCAAATGTTCTTTGCCAATGTTACATTTTATTGTTTAGATGGTGAATTAACCTTTACCCTGCTAAAACTGAAATTGATCAGCCTTTGTTACCAGTATAGAGCCAGGGTCTTTCAAATAAAATGGTCTGGAGTCAGACCAGATGTCTCGGTTGAATCACATGATTAGGTTATCTACCGACCGTGATCTGGCATAGTACATCACCATTCAAAAATGAAATTGTAAGATAATGTTTTGTTAAATCGATCAAAAAATTACTGACAACTAACCCTGGCTACATTACATTATTAGTTTTTACTGTAAAAAGTAACAATTTTATAGATTTGCAATGAAATTATGCATTTTTTGTTCCCGGTGTCGAGGTAAAAATTTACTGCTCATATTTGAAAATAGGTCTGATTTTTATAAGCTTTTTAGCTCACCTGAGCTTGCTCGGGGTGAGCTATTAGGATCGGTGAATGTCCGTCATCCGTCGTACGTCCACAATTGCTTGTGAACACACTAGTGGTCACACTTATGACTCAATCATCATCAAACTTTGTCAGGATGCTTGTTTAGTCAATTGCTCGGATGAGTTCGAAACTGGGTCATTTCGGATGGAAAACTAGGTCAAAGGAGCTAAAAATAGAAAAACCTTGTGAACACTCTAGTGGTCACATTTTTGACCCAATCATCATCAACCTTTGTCAGAATGCTTGTTTAGATTATTGCTTGGATGAGTTCGAACATGGGTCATCTCCGATGAAAATCTAGGTCACAGGAGCTATAAATAGAAAAACCTTGTGAACACTCTAGTGGTCACATTTTTGACCCAATCATCATCAAACTTTGTCAGGATGCTTGTTTAGATAATTGCGCAGATGAGTTCGAATATGGGTCATCTCTGATGAAAAACTAGGTCACAGGAGCTATAAATAGAAAAACCTTGTGAACACTCTAGTGGTCACATTTTTTACCCAATCATCATCAAACTTAGTGCGGATGCTTGTCTAGTCAATCGCTCAGATGAGTTTGAATATGGGTCATCTTTGATGAAAAACTAGGTCACAGGAGCTAAAAATAGAAAAACCTTTTGAACACTCTAGTGGTCACATTTTTTACCTAATCATGATCAAACTTTGTCAGGATGCTTGTTTAGATAATTGCTTTGATGAGTTTGCACATGGTTTATCTCGGATGAAAAACTAGGTCACAGGAGCTATAAATAGAAAAACCTTGTAAACACTCTAGTGGTCACATTTTTGACCCAATTATTAAGAAACCTTGTCAGGATGCTTGTTTAGTCAATTGTTTGGATGAGTTCGCACATGGGTCATCTCGGGTGGAAAACTAGGTCATAGGAGCTAAAAATAGAAAAACCTTGCGAACAGTCTAGTGGTCACATTTTTGACCCAATCATCATCAAACTTTGTCAGAATGCTTGTCTAGTCGATGCTTGGATAAGTTTGAACATGATTTATCTCGGATGGAAAACTAGGTCACAGGAGCTAAAAAAAGAAAAACCTTGTGAACACTTTAGTGTCACATTTTTGACTCAATTATCATCAAACTTGGTCAGGATGATTGTCTAGGTAATTGCTCGAATGTCAAGCTCGAATATGGGTCACCTGGGGTCAAAAACTAGGTCACACTGCTCAAATATGGATAATCCTTGTTAACACTAGTGGTCACATTTTTGACACCTGTCATGAAACTTGGTCAGAATGCTTGTCTAGGTAATTGTTCGGATGAGTTTGACGGGTCAGGTGAGCGATCTAGGGCCATCTTGGCCCTCTTGTTTTAATTTATGCATTGTTCAATGGGAAAAAAGAAATTGATTTTACAGAGAAAAAAATGTTATTTAATCGTATCTTTAAAAGGTTTATAATATTTCATGATGTTATTTACAACTATACTGTGTTCTGCTGAGACAGGTTTAATCGTACATATGTAGTGAGACGGGTTTACGTAGCGCGTTTCTGGACCATTCTATTTGAAAGACCCTGATAAAGCCAAGCCAACCAGCTGACTATGGCTGTGTAGTTTTATCAGTCTCTATACTTGTGACTGACCAGCTTCAAATTTTTGTCTTGATATCCCTAGATATCTGGTAATTAACATTACCAAAAATAAAAGATGGGCAAATTGGTTTACAAAAATATTTAGCAGAATAAGACTTTAGACTTAATGCACTGAATTTATTAAAATAACTCGGACTAAATTAATAATATAGTTAAATTCTTTCAATGTTTTAATGTTGTTTTGCATGTTATTAAATTAATAATTCTAAATGTAGAATGTTTCTTTTAACTTATACATTTGTATTTACTTCTATTAATTTTCTGTTTTTTTAGTTTTTCATAATTAGAATGACTGGTTATTTTAGAGTAGAATTAATTAGATTGGAAGACGGACAAAACCCCACCAGTTAAAACCCCACCACTCAAAATTTTATAGAGTGGACAAAACCCCACCACTAAATTTTATAGAGTGGACAAAACCCCACCACTAAATTTTACAGAGTGGACAAAACCCCACCACTTACCAATTATTGGGCAAGATTTGATGAATTAAAATATATATAATATACAGTACACATTTTCACATTTTATTTTTTAATTTCAATATAACATTTGTGTAATATAAGAGATTATACAAATAATTTACAAACTGTTAAATCAACATCAAAGAGTAGTCATTTATTTGAGACTGTGCCACATTTATGACCTTGAATTATCCATTATTTTTAGTTTCTTCAAATTCATTTCTTCAATTTATTTATATAAAAAATAAACTACTTACTATTAATCAAGAATGTAGCACATTTTCATCAATTAATGATTAAAAAATAGCACATTTTTATAGCACATTTCTAATTTATTCAGTTCAGTCAATTTTCCTTCATTGTACTTCATTGTACTTAGTTTAAGTGGATACTGTGGCTGATAGCCTGAAGAAACTCGGGTACAGTCTTCTCCTTATTGATGAGTTGTTCACACATTCTTTTGAGTTTCTGCTGATGCACAATTGTTTGTTTTTTAACATGTTTACAAGAAAGTTTTGTCCACTCTATAAAACTGAAGTGGTGGGGTTTTGTCCACTCTGTAAAATTAAGTGGTGGGGTTTTGTCCACTCTATAAAATTTAGTGGTGGGGTTTTGTCCACTCTATAAAATTTTGAGTGGTTGGGTTTTAACTGGTGGGGTTTTGTCCTACATTCAATTAGATTATAGAGGTCTTTTAAGAAAATGAATCAGGGAATAAAAGTTTGATATAAATTTACTAGGAACAGATTTATGTGAAGAGTAATGATTTGAAAAAATTGTTACAATATATATATGTGGTGTAAGAATGTGCAAGTTCACATAAAAAATTATTATACTGAGCAAAATGTACATTACATTACATGTTTTACTGTTTATCAGCAAATTAAATTGGTTTTCATTCTTAGAATTGGTCTTACTATATTTGGTAGAGAAAGTGTACACTGTGTAACTAGTGTACATGTGTACATGTGGCAACTGTATACATGTACATGTAATTCACTTTATGAGACAGAGTCATATAAAGTGTTTTGTATTATCAAAATTGAAGCTTTTAAATGAGAACTGGACCATATGGGGACTTAATTTTTTTGCATTTATAAGCATTGTCCCTGGGGGTTGATTAAACAGGAATGTATGGTAGCTTTAATTTTCAAATTTATCAGTATAAAAAATGATGCAGTATTTCGAAGAATGAATAAAGATTGACTCAGGTACACTGAATAATAGAACATATATTACCTTTTTTAACGGTTTGGCAAAGAAGCAGCATAATCAACTTAAGTAGAACTGATTAGAATTACAAATATAAAGTCTCTAGAAATAACCAGTTAATAGAATGTTTTGTTTATTCAGTTATTTTATATCTTATTATTTAATGAATATTTGGACACAGCCTTGACAACAACTTAGAAGTTTCATCTTGAAAAAAATTGTGGATAATACTGAATTGATTTACTAAACATAGATGTGACAATATATTACAAGATTTTTTAGTGACATATTCATGAAACATGGAAATACTACCTACTGTAGATCAGTCAAGGCTGTGTACAACAGTTTATTCTTTCACTGCATGTGATTCTATTCTTTATTTAAACTTGAATGTAGAAGATGACAAGAAGCCTGCTGAAAGTGGTGTTGTCTATGACTCAGCCACCCTGAAAATGTCAGTCAAAGACAAAATATCAAAGTTCAAATCTCCGGGAAATGAAAGTGAGGCTGGCAAAGGGAAATCACTCTCCCAGTCAGAGAAAAAACATGATGTAGTTCTAAGAGACAGTAAGAAAAATGATTCACTGCCATCAGATACACAGGAAATTTCACATAAGAGGTCCTCCTCTCTACCAAGGAATACAACTCCATCAGATATGAAAAAAGGGGAAACAACTGAAGGTGGTTCTAATCTTTGTTTTTGAAGACATTTAAATTATTTGAAATAATAATAAAGAACAGGATGAATTGAAATATCAGTGTTTCTTAAAAGATTCTTCTCATTCATATATTAAGTTATATATTTAGTTATTTTAATGTCTTTTCTGCATGTTTGACAGTGTATAATATGTTTGCACTAAAGTTTGTTTATTTATTGATCTCACACTTTTGCATGTCTGTGTATTAATGTATTTATGATATTTTCACTGGACATGTCATGTATTATATATATGAATAGTGCATATTTTGATTATAGAAAGTAAGGATATTAACCCTTACCATTGAAATTACCTAAAACAGACTTATTTATCTTTCAATCTGGACAATACGGTTTAATTTTTTTTAAAGAAATACTGACTTAATAGCAAACAGTGTATACCATGATCAGACTGCATGGATACAACTGCTAATTTTGGTCTGTGCTTGCCATCAGGGTAGAATTCATTGCCTCCCAGGTTAGGTTAAAAAACTTGGTTTGTTACTAGGAGTGTTTTTTTTTTATTTTGGTAACCCAGTAAAGGCCTTTATTGTTTGATAAATTCTAACTTTGAACTTTGAATAAGTCTTTGCACAAAATTAATTAGAAAAAAAAATCAAGATATGAATCCAAATATTCAAAGCATTTTTTTATCCTCTTCACATTTTTACAATGAAATTTGGCAAGTGCTTGGTATATTATAAATGAATTAGCTAATTTTGTTTCCCATTTACAGCTGGTGACCTTGACATTAGAAAGGTTCAGGATGCTATGACAGACAGTGGTATTGGTGATGACTCGCCCAAAACATCTGTAAAAGATGCACTCTCTAAATTTGACAGCAATGATGTAGGGCTGAGGAAACATGGCTCTCTACCCAGACAGGGTAAACAGATTGATTCTCTCAAAGGTATTGCTTTTCCTGATATAAAACTAGCTAAATCATGAAGTATAATGATTTTACTAAGACACTTCAAAACTGATAAAAAGACACTGGTCTGTGTGTAATGGTGTCAGTTTAGTCAACATTGGTAAATTAAAACAACTTGCATGTTGGTTCAAAAGGAGTTGTGATAGGTAACAAAGAAAGACATGGCATGGAAGAGAAAATCTTATTTTGAAACATACCTGGGCATCTTAATTGCACTGGCTGCATGGCTTGTTTAAAAAATGTTGGTTTTGATGAACTTTAATTCTGGTACATATTTAATTGAAAATACAAATACACAATTCAGTGTTGTCCATGCTTCTTGACAAAAATGAAGTCTTCAGAAATTCCAGCATGAAGAGCATTGATTAGTTAAATTTTCTGCTTGAACTGAACACAAACAGTGGTTCATGGAAAATTGATAAAATGTTCAATGTGTACTATTAAGACTTTGTAAACATATTTTAACTTTATCAGCTGAATTGTTGAAGTAGTAAGGTTAACAAATTTACGATTATTTTTCACTTCAGAGAATTCTGACAGTCCTAAACGTCCTCAATCAATGTTTGCTGCCCTAGGAAATCGTGCTGAATCCAAGAAACATGTTGATAATAAAGAAGAAATAGCAGAAGAGAATGATCAAGACCCAGCCACTGAAGAAATACTTGTCTGATGTTATCATGTCATTGAGAACTATAAATAACTTTGGTTGCCATAGACTGATAGAGATGTAGCATGCTTGAAAGCTTAAATCTTTGTAAAAAAAAGAAATTATTCTAAAATGTTGATATCAGCTAAGAAATTTTAGAATCTTAGAAACCATTCCACATATGCCTTGAGTTTGTAAATTAACAACTAAATAAACAGCTGTTTTATTCGCTATATCAGGATTATACATGTAGAAGGGTAATGCATTGAACCAATTAAAATGTGACTTTTTTTTGGTGAAAATGGTTAAAATCATTTAACTAGTAGTAATTAAGGCAATGTGATGTAATTGATATGTGAAAAAAGTAGTACAGATGTAGTTGTGAAAGTTAACAACTTGACAAATTTGGCAATAATGTGGTATACAGACTTATGGTGACATATATCTGGCAATAATTATATTTCTATGCAATACTGTTGCCAAGGTTACAATTTTAAGACAGCGCTTATTATGTGTTCTTAGCATTATTCTGTAGTTAATATATTTATTTCAGTGTTTATACATGTAGTTTAGTTATAAAACAAGACTTACATACTATAATTCTGTCTTTATATACCGTTTATTTATAAAACATTTCTGAAACTTACATCTTTCATATGTGGTTAATTTACCAGTTAAATACATGTAGATGTACTTTAAACTGGTAGATTATTTTACACAAAAGTAGTATTATTCTTTACAATTCAAAAATCTGGAAACAAAGTGAGGCATTAATCATAGCAAATTTACATGAAAATTGCAAAAACCATTCTCGTTTGAAACCATAAAAAAGATTTACTGTAGGTCAAATGTTTCATAATGCAGTTTTTTTAAGACAGTTATTTTATGCATCTATAGAACATTTTAATTTGTTTACTGTCGTGTAATTATAAACAATTTTTTTGTAAATTGAATTATTCACATTGCAGATTAAATATATAAATTGCAAATTGTGACAATTTATATGCATAGAAATTGTAGATTACCTATAAATGAACCAACTGATTCTTCTGTTGCCTGTCATTTGCTAGGATTGTTTAAGGATGTTACTCTGTTCTACACCGGATGGTTCTACACTGTCCGGTTCTACACCTGATACTTGTGAGAAACACAAGTTTTAGATATCCTCACTAAACAAAACAATAATGGTCCAACCTGTCATAAAGGTAACATCTACTTGAATTTGTCTCTGTCTTGACAGATTACCTTTATCACAGTTTATATTACTCATGGGTTTTATAGGCAGGTAATTTCTTCGTTTGGACATTGTTTAACAGGTGTTCGTCTCTGCATTTATCGAAATAGAATAACATCAAATTTGACGTTTAGCTTTCTTGTTTCTCTTTTGTACCAGTAAGTATTTCTTGGTTAATCTTTGTTTGATAACTGAGAAATAAAGTAAAGGACCAGTAAAATATTAAAAAAGCGTTCCATTTGATCATTTATCAATATATAACATTCCGAAATCATTATTTTTTTTTACAAAAGTTGGTTGTAGTTAGGACCAAAGACCAGTAACTGTTTAATGTTAGCTTAGGGAACAAATGTTGTTTATAGCCAATTTTTGTATTCATTAGTTTTGTATTTTAAAGTTAAGTCTGATTGTTGATGTTATATGTTTAAGAAATCAGAAAAGTTTGTTCTGTTTTAAGATATATCTTGTGTACTTTTTTTTCAGCTGGCAAAATAGTGCAATTTTTGTCTTGTAAATACATATGTATAGGGGTGTTAACCATAGACATTCTTTTCATAATGTAATGTTATATTTATTATAGTTATGTACATTGTGCTAATGCATGTGAATGATTGAAAATCTGAGAATAAAAAATAAAGTTAAAAATAATAAAGTTAAATATAAGTCAATGAATGATGTTGAAAGTTCTTTAATTCTGTACATTATTCTATACCTATAAATGAAATACAGAGTTTGTATCAGTGAAATAAAAACGTGTATCTTTCACTGTATATAACTCATTATGCAAATATTATTGTTCAACATCAATTAGAAAAAATGTAAAAGAAATTGGCTTGGTTTTCTGAGCAGTTAAGATTGCATCTCACTTTGACTTAAAAAATTGTTTCATTACATGTTTTATTCTTTAGTTTATCATAGAAAATCTTAACATTATTAAAAAAAAATATTTTTAGTTTGAACTATTGATTTAAAAAAAAAAACTGCCTGATGTGAATATTTATTAGGGTAAAAATATTATTTTTTTGAATTCCTTAACTAGGTGATGATTTTGATGTCTTTATTTTTTTTACAAAGTTAAGTTTGCATTTTCGCTAAGTTTAAATCTTGATTAAGTGTTGATTTTGTTGACTCTGATTGATTTTTAAATAAACATGTACATAAATTATTGTAGGTGTTTATTTGAGAGTTAGTTGCTATGATGACAGATAATTGTTAAGTTTAGAATCATAATGATATGATTGTCAATTGTTTATGATACAAGTATAAACCAGGATAAATGCTACATGATCATATGTTCCCATATAATGGTATAAAAGTAAATCTTGCTTGTTAGACTGGATTTTTTTTATTGTTTCAACAATTACTGAAAATTATCATCTTTTACTTTAATTAGGAAATAGTTTTAAATAAAAATAGAAGATTTTCATTTGTTTTTCCACACTAACATCAATATATTACATGCAAGAAAAAAAAATTCCATAGAAGAGAATATTATGCTCTTGGGTACATGTTTTAATGGAAACTCGACAGAGCCTTGTTGTCTTGTAAACAGATACGCAGGTATTTGGCCTGTATCAGCTGCCAGTGTGAGATTCTCGAATGAAAGGATTGTGCAATGTTTATGGTATAATGGTTGAAGATAATGATATGATGGTCCCCTATATGTATATAATATGATTATATGATCAGCAATTGATGGAAGAATAATGATATGATGAAATGTGAAGATATGATAATGATTATATAAATGCTGGGTTATTATCTAATAAAATAGGATAAAGTAAGGATATGATAAAATAAAGATATGATAAATATGATGAAATATGGATATGATGAATATAATAAAATAAAGAGGATATGATGATGTAAGATAGTAATCTCATTTAGCCAGTTTGTATACCTAATGTATGTTATTATATTAAATGTATTATACGTTTCAGAATACTACCACATAACAAAAACTGTAAATTTATATCTTATGTTATTGTTTATAGATTTGTGTCAGGTAACACCTCTTCTTGATGATTCTATAATACAACTGTTTACGCTAAATTTTTTGAATGGATAAGATAAAAAAATACATGTACAATTTATACAGTTCATTAATTAAATATAAATATTTAAAAGTGGTAAAGAAAATGAAGTAAAAATGTTACTGTTGGTATATAACAAATTTGTATACAACAATTAGTATATACAGCTTTGGAAATGTACTTTATTGTGAATGCTGACAATATTAGCATATAAGAATTAGTGTTTCTGCCGTTATTAAAGATGTTTTAATGTTTTGTAAAGTGTTTTTGTTGTTACTTCAGTGCCTTCACAATGTCTCAATCTTGTTTTTAAACTTAAATAATATAACCAATACTGTTATATTTACTGTTGAAAATTATTGAATCTATGCATTTGTAAAACAGCCTTGTTTATTTCTGCTGCTTTATTCTGGATTTGTTTGGTGATTGTTTTAAAGCTGTTTATATAATACGCTATGCTGTGTCTTTAATGCACTTTATTATTATTTAAGAATAAATTTACACCAATGTTCTTCCTTGTATTACACAGTGGTGTGTGTAAGCTTCCATAAGAAGTCTACATGATTTTCTTAAGCTTTAAATGTTATGGCATAGGAATAGCTTGTTACATTTGTATTTCAGTTTTCTCCAGTATTTGAATTTTTTTATCTGTTGAGAATTTAAAACTGCTGAAAATCAAAAACTACAAGTATGTACAAGAATGATAGAAGGGAGTATGTGATGTAAAAATTGAAGATATTTTAGTCGTACCTTTAAATGTTTTAATGACATTGTGGAAAACAAAGTAACAATACAGCAGGACATGACCTCAAATTAAGGTATTTTTACTTTCATACAAAATAATGCAGACCAGAAACTGATGGTTTTTATGCATGTTCACAAAATTTCATCAGGTAATTAATTATTTGATAATTGAAAGAAAAGAACTGGTAGATTTATAATTATTTCTCTCTGTTCATCACAGAGGTATTTTGGTAATCATTCCTTTATTATGATACCTATTAACATGTTATGATTATTTTTGGACTGTATTAAGATTAAACAAAATGTAGGTGATCACCATCTGCTTCAACCAAGTTGTTAACACCAAGGCACAATTTAATGTATAGAAAATGTGTATAATAAGTGAGTATCAGTGATTTGTAAACTGTGTTTAAATGGTGCTTTCACTGTGTTTGGTCAGTGTTTTATCTATGCACTGTGTTACATTGTTTCACATCTTCCTTCATACTAAATTTGTTGCCATATTCAATTATCATAACAGTAATTGAATGATTTAAGAATCTTATCACATATTACATTTTGTGTAATATATTAACAAGGTTGGACATAACTTAAGAACTTTTTAGGTAACAAACATAACTTATTGTGTTTTTATCATTTGTCGTCTTCTGTTGCCAGGGTGCTTGCTGAATGCTTGTTAACCAGCTTTGTCCATCACTTATTTGTACATAAGCCTTAAATTTCAAAGTTGAAGCAAAGCATTATTATCGAGTATTGACTTGTTGGAGATAATAGTTAATTTTTGTCATACAATAGGTAGAGTTGGCTTCAAGCATCAGCTTTATAAAGAAGTTTTAAAACTGCATGCCTCCAGTTAAGCTAAAATAGTTCAAGAAAATCAAACTTGTGAGAAATACACTAAGATTTTAAGAAAAGTATAAAGATTCTAGTTTCAATTTTCTTGTACATGTGATTAATGATCGATTTTACAGTATACATGTACATATCACTATATTTTTACTGTGTGACTAACACACTAAGGACTATTTTTTTGTATATTTTGGCCTTGGTATGGATTGTAAGTACTGTTTGCAAGGTTTAAAATACTTTCTTTGTTTACTTAACAATATTTTACTTTTAAATACATTTTCAAATTTTTCATGAAAATTAGCATGAATCCGAAGGCATGCTGCTTTAAGGACAGAAAAAAAAACACCCATAAAAACAGCTTATATAGTATGTTAAGTATACAGCTTATATGAACATCATACATGTAAATATCTGGCCTTTCATGATGGAACTATAGCAAACTTATTGTATATTCACTTTTATATTTACTTACACAAATTTTATTAATTATTATTATATTTTCAAGTCTTGTTTCATGTTTTATTATAATATAAATGCAAATAAATCATAAACATTACACAGCTTTTGTTATTCTTTATTTCTATATTGTATATTGTAGACATTTTATGTAAACTATTGTAAAAGAATTATTACATGTAAAACATGTCAATAAATAAGAATTGGCACACAATAACTACAAGAATTATGCATCATTTAATAATATTGCTATATATACCTGTTAGAAAGGTAAATTATTAAACATCAAAGAAAACATAAATTATGAACCCAGCAGTTGTATTATTTGGCAGAGTTATGGCCCTTGTATAAAAAGGTGTTTTTTTGCTAGTTAGTGATTTTTGTGTCACCTGTTACACTGTAGCATCAATGTGCTATAGGGAACAAACTGTCCACCCCTCAATACAACTGCTTAACTGGCAATCATCAGGGGACACGTGATCACTGATAGATTTTGTGATCATTTTGCATTTGTACTGTTCTTTCTTGACAAAACTTGTCTTGATATATACACACAAAATTTTTCATTGAATCAGTTTACAGTTTTCTTAATTGAAAATATTAAAGTACCCATAATACTAAAGAACAGAATCTACTGTTCCTGGTATCCAACAAATGTCTTCTTGTTCACCTGGACAGACTGATGGACGGACAACACTTAAATACATTTACCCTTTACGATTTAATCGGCAGGGGCCTGGAGATAAATAAATCTATAGAAGCCTGTATGTAAAGACTGGAAGCTTTATGTATAAATGGGGAACTAGAATCTTTAAAGCCTATTCTTATACTTTTAGCAAAGTAAATTTTTTTTTGCAAAATAGAACAAGAATGTCGAACGACACATATACCCCCTTTCTAGCCATTGACTCACATAATTGGTAATTTTATTACAGAAACTTGCCAAAAATGGGTACATGGAAGTGTTCAATTATGGAAAAATCAACGGAAACCATTTTGACATTTAAGGCCCATGTGACATTGACCTAATGACCCCTAAATCAATGGAGGTCATCTACTACTAATGACCATTAACTAGGTGAAATATGAAGACTTTGTGATGAATACTTTTCAAGATAATCAGCGGAAACCCTTTTCATATTAAAGGCCCCTGTGACCTTGACCTTTGACCCCAAAATCAATAGGGGTCATCTACTAGTTATGACCAATCACTATGTGAAATATGAAGACTTTGTGATGAATACTTTTCAAGATAATCAGCGAAAACAATTTTGACATTTTAAGGTCCCTGTGACCTTGACCTTTGACCTAGTGACCCCAAAATCAATAGGGGTCATCTACTAGTGATGACCAATCACTATGTGAAGTATGAAGACTTTGTGATGAATACTTTTCAAGATAATCAGCGGAAACTATTTTGACATTTAAAGCCCCTGTGACCTTGACCTTTGACCTAGTGACCCCAAAATCAATAGGGGTCATCTACTAGTTATGACCGATCACTGTGTGAAATTTGAAGACTTTGTGATACATACTTTCCAAGATAATCAGCAGAAACCATTTTGACATTTAAGGTCCCTGTCACCTTGACCTTTGACCTAGTGACCGTAAAATCAACAGGGGTCATCTAATAGTGATGACCAATCACTATGTGAAATATGAAGACTTTGTGATACATACTTTTTAAGATAATCAGCGGAAACCATTTTGACATTTTAAGGTCCCTGTGACCTTGACCTTTAACCTAGTGACCCCAAAATCAATAGGGGTCATCTACTAGTGATGACCAATCACTATGTGAAATATGAAGACTTTGTGATGAATACTTTTCAAGATAATCAGCGGAAACCATTTTGACATGTAAGGCCCCTGTGACCTTGACCTTTGACCTAGTGACCCCAAAATCAATAGGGGTCATCTACAAGTGATGACCAATCACTATGTGAAATATGAAGACTTTGTGATAGTACTTTTCAAGATAATCAGCTGAAACCATTTGGACATTTAAGGCCCCTGTGACCTTGACCTTTGACCTAGTGACCCCAAAATCAATAGGGGTCATCTACTAGTTATGACCAATCACTATGTGAAATATGAAGACTTTGTGATGAATACTTTTCAAGATAATCAGCGGAAACCATTTTGACATTTAAGGCCCCTGTGACCTTGACCTTTGACCTAGTGACCCCAAAATCAATAGGGGTCATCTACTAGTGATGATCAATCACTATGTAAAATATGAAGACTTTGTGATGAATACTTTTCAAGATAATCAGCGGAAACCATTTTGACATTTAAGGCCCCTGTGACCTAGACCTTTGACCTAGTGACCCCCAAAATCAATAGGGGTCATCTACTAGTGATGACCAATCACTATGTGAAATATGAAGACTTTGTGATACATACTTTTCAAGATAATCAGCGGAAACCATTTTGACATTTAAGGCCCCTGTGACCTTGTCCTTTGACCTAGTGACCCCAAAATCAATAGGGGTCATCTACTAGTTATGACCAATCACTGTGTGAAATATGTAGATTTTGTGATACATACTTTTTAAGATAATCAGTGGAAACCATTTTGACATTAAAGGTCCCTGTGACCTTTGACCTAGTGACCCCAAAATCAATAGGGGTCATCTACTAGTTATGACCAATCACTATGTGAAATATGAAGACTTTGTGATAAATACTTTTAAGATAATCAGCGGAAACCATGTGGTCTACCGACGGACAGACAGACAGACAGACCGACATTAGCAAAACAATATACCCCCTCTTCTTCGAAGGGGCTTGACCTTTGACCTAGTGACCCCAAAATCAATAGGGGTCATCTACTAGTTATGACCAATCACTGTGTGAAATATGTAGATTTTGTGATACATACTTTTTAAGATAATCAGTGGAAACCATTTTGACATTAAAGGTCCCTGTGACCTTGACCTTTGACCTAGTGACCCCAAAATCAAAAGGGGTCATCTACTAGTTATGACCAATCACTATGTGAAATATGAAGACTTTGTGATAAATACTTTTCAAGATAATCAGCGGAAACCATGTGGTCTACCGACGGACATACCGACAGACAGACAGACCGACATTAGCAAAACAATATACCCCCTCTTCTTCGAAGGGGGGCATAAAAATTTCTAAATATGAAAGAAAGCATTTCCAATATTCCACAGCCATATACATGTTTTGCAGCATGAGATATCTACACAAGATGAAGCATTTACATGTTCTAGTATTACACAATATAAGCATTTCATTTAAACTACAGATTTCTAGGACCTCCAATGGTGTTTTTTCACAAGATGGGGCTGAAAATATAATTTTCTAGATATTTATACCATTTAATGGAGTTAGTCATGTACATAATGTACCAATAAGTCGTCTTGCGGTTCAAATATTTGACCACTCCTTTTTTCCAGAATGATCAATTCTATTTTCTCAAACAACCTAGAAATAAAGAACTTTTAAATTATTTTAAGAATCTCACTAAATATTGATTTTTAATGTTTTTATATTTCAGCTGAACTCCTTTAATTATATAATCGTTAACAAAATCAACAGCTACTGTATTGATATCATACAAAAACAACATTAAAGAAAAAAATTGGAAAACTAAAATAATCTGAAGAGTCATAATATTATCAAAATATAAATGGTGATATATTTACACAAACAAATATTGCAGTGTTTAGTTCAAATTGGTAAAAAATAATGGGGAAATTATAAGCCAACTATTCATTCAAACTAAAATTCTAAAACAGTAAGAATTTGTCAAATCTTCAATTATCCTTGTACCCTGAAACATTTATATATCTATCACAACAATAAATACAAAGTAATGTACAATTAAATATGTAACAGTAAGGTTTTGAAAATACTGAACACATTTCTACTTTACCACTTCTAATACTATAATGTATTTCAAATATAGACCACCCAACCCTCCCTAATACCTGTTTGTATCTAATGATTTCCATATAAAAACTTAAAAATTGACAATAAAGAGACGAAGCTGCCCTAACTTAAAATTCTTACATATTTTTCTTTCAATATAAATTTCAATTCTTGTACATGAAGTAGGTTTTTGAAAAACTGTTTAACTCAGAAAGTGGCTCCTAAGTACATGTGTACTTAAACAATTTATTGTTAGAACAACCTATCACTTGTGTTTTTTATACAGAGATTGATGTTCAATCTATGAAATACACAATAAAATCTGTCTAAAGAGACCATCAATGAAAAATAAACAAATAGAGAAAGACCTGTTATGTAAGGCCACTTTTTCAATTCCTCTAAGACAAAGAGTACAAATATATAATACTACATTCATCTGCTTAAAGAATTTTTTTTAAAAGACACATTTTTTTTTCACATTCTGATTTGTTATTTCTTTGAAAACAGTTACAACTCCTCTATTTCATACAAGTTAAAACAATTTTGCACCAAGTCATAAAGTTATAGATTTGTTCATATTCCCTGACAATATTGCACTTGTTTAAAGTTTTACAATAAAGATATATGAGCCGCGTCATGACAAAACCATAATAAACCCATTATGTTGGTTTTGTTGTGACGCGGCTCATATAATGATATATCCAGATAAATCATGTCCATCCTTTGACCAATTTTCTACGGAATTTTCTTCTTTGTACCTGATGAACATCTTTCACATATGGTTTGAATTTTCCCACAGGTTTTGGTACAAACATAATATCTGTACTGAAATAATAATAAACATATTTTCAGTTAAAAGAGATCATTTGACCTTTAACTTATAATTAAACAAAGCTAAACATAAAAACATGTAGTTTTATTAGTACTGTTCAATTTTTTAATTTGCTTTAATTTATGTTTCAGCTATTAAGCTACTTTACTTTCCAGATTTGTTATAAGTTAGTTTATGTACGCTTTATGATCTTTTATTATTTTCAGTGTTAATGTTTTGTGATTGTAAAAACTGACTTTAAATAAAGCTTCTTGTATCATCTTATTTGCTAGCTAGCTGCCAGTTTAGACTGGGATATTGTGCTGGAAGGTAAGTTAACAGAGCTGTATGTTCCCGTCTGTATTAGCAGCCAAGGATTTATCTTTACTCTTGTATATAAAATAGCAATTATTATTCAGAAAGAAAAATCAAAACACTTTTATACTATTATACTCAATATCACTAATTCCGCGTCATCACTTATTTCACGGTAATGGCATATTTTTATGTGACCAGTGTTAAAATTGGTCAGAATTGACATATTTTATTCAAACACCTAAACAACAAAGTTTTTGTGCAAAATAGTTTAAATCTGTAGAATTTTACATAAAACAGAACAACGTTTTACAAGCCTCCGCAAAAAGCAACAATAGTCCGTTAAATTTGTGCATATGTTGGAAACAATCATCATTTTCTAAATGTTCTTGTTTGTTGAAGAAATAAATTTTGAGTACATTACAAAGATATTTTAATATTGAAAAGTAAACAAAATAACATTTAGAAATTTTAACTGAAACATGAAAAAACTGAAGTGTAACACAATTACCGCGATTTAAATGATGATATACTGTTTTCAAAATGGCCAACATATGGTCTATGTTTGGTCCATTAAAATTGACTTTGACCGAATATATTGTTGTTTCCTTGTGCCATACAGCAGAAAATACCTATATGTAACAGCTTGTGACACTTTTTGTACCATAAGTTACATTTGTTATTTTATTTCATGTTTCAAACCGTTAAGTACTGTGAACTAAGAGGAGCACAGTATATTTAGAATATTTTGTCATAGTAGCATATAAATTTTACATGAATTTAACAACTTCATATTTTACATCAGCAAGCTGACATCATTGATAGCAGCCACGCATTCCACTGCGAGTTCAACATGCTTTAAGATGAAAATTTACAGTGTAAATACCAGAAAATTTTATTTGATATATCAGAATATTTTACTTACTCCATCTCAAGAGTAACTTACTAGAAATGATGATAAGCCACAAAGTAATAAACTATCATTCCACCAATCAACATCACTGTTAAAAATGTTTTAAGCAACATACGCCATTGTGAAGGCTGAAAAAAATAAGACAAAAAATACATGTACATGTATAAACCAATTTAAAATCTATCACAGACTTCACATATGAGGTAATTACATGATATCTTGTTTGTTTTTTTTGTTTGTTTCATTTTACGCCTTTTCTCAACAATATTTCAGTCATATAGGTGGGTAGTTTCCTAACCATTCTTCCTGGATAGTTAGACCAGTACTAGACTACCTTCCTCTGCGCTAAGCTATCAAAGCATCTCCCGGGGATCAAACCCACGCCAGAGAGGTCACTGGATTAGAAGTCATCAACTCTAACCCCTCGACCACGGAGGCGGTTTACATGATATCTGAACTTAACAGTTTCACATAGATGTTGAATGGATTTCAATTTCAAGTAGAATTTTTTTAACATATTTTGCACGAAAGGGTAGTGAAAGTAGATATATATTCTGTATCAATGACACAAGAGCTCTAAAGTGAATGATAAAGTGAGTGTATTAATTTATATCTCAGTGCTATAGTAAATTATTATATACGTCTGAATGAAATATTCAGAAATTTTGATGAAATAAAATGTGTATATTCATTTTCCGTATTTTCAATGTTAAAAATATATTTTTCACTGCAGTGAAACATATTTTCCATATTTTCACTGGTGTCTAGCCGGATTACATTTTTTTCTAAATTCAACCTTTACACAAAATTTAAGGGGAAATCTTTCAAATTGTAATGTCAAAAAAGATGTATATAATCAACAGAAAATTTAAGTTTTTTCTATAAATACTGGATTTATTTTCATCTTGTGGTATGAAAATTATCATATTTCACTCGAGGCTACCGCCACTCATGAAATATTTATTTCCATACCACTCAATGAAAATAAATCCGGTTTTTATAGAAAAAACTTAAATGTCCTCTATCTAAAATAAAATATGGATATATATTAATTTTTATAAAATGAATTTATAGCTACAGCAAGAATTTTTAACCCAAATAAAGTATAACCAGTGTTTATTATATGTACATATTATACCTACCTCTATTTTACCGGTATACCAGTATTTATTACATGTAAGAGATGAGCACACTTGGGACTTGGTTTTGTCTGGAAAATAAAATACATAGTATGAATGCATGAAAGATTTTAATATTTAGCATTATTATAAAATGAACATTTTCTAATATACAATGAATATCTTTTGTTTAAATTTTGTTTATTGTTGAAAGAACTACAGTTAATTGTTGCCTTTTTGTCCAGTTTTAGGTTGCATTAAGAATATGTGAAGAATTTCAAAACTGAAGAAGGAAGATTCTAAATGCCCTTGGTGGTTTATTCTCTACAAAAGTTGACACGCCAGGGGTAGAACTACCAAATTTTAACAAGCTAGCACAAAGGTTTTCTCAGATGAAAGTTATAGATTCCTACATGTAGTATGATTCTAACATACTGAAATGGAGCAACTGTTTCAAAAACTCTGCAACTTTAACAATGCAATTATAAAACCCATTTGTCAAATAAGTCATTTTCAAATTATTTTGAATATGAAGGTGTGTAAATATTGATTTAAAATTTGAGGAGAAATGAGCATAGCAAAATATCAATCAGAGATAATGAAACAGTTTTACTGACTTACTCAGAATGACTAGACTTATATTTTTTGAAACATCAGCAGGCCCACATGTAGAAAATGCTCTCTGAAAGGTAAATATATATAAATGTAATTCATTGTGTAAGAAATGTACTCTGAAATGGAAAAATATAAAATTCATTTTCCTTTCATTGATTCTTAATAAAACTTAATTATTCTTTTCACTTATTAATACATGTAACTGAAATACAATTAAGATTTACTGAATTTGGCATACTGCCATTGCCCCACTTGCTATATTTTGGTCATGAATACTGTTCAGAATATCAACTTGCTATAAACAGTTATCTTTCTGAAATATTAAATGAACTCCACTGAGGCTCAAACTTACATAGATCAGTACTGGCACATACCGGTAATACAAAAAGGTAAGCAAAAGACAAGTAATAAATCTAATCAAAAAGAAATTGAAAATCGTATTTTTGTGTTATTCTAAGCCCTATATTCACTTTTTCCATTTCGGGTCATTTTTCACACTAAGAATATTTTTTCTGGAAAAACAGAGTGAGGGAATAATTTGAAATTTTGCACAAAAGTTATTGGTCTAGATCTACATCAAACTAAACATTAATTTCAAACAATTATTTCCAGTCCTATTATGTCAAAAAAAAAATTAGTGATTTCCCTTAAAACTTAATGTTTTTTGTGGTTAACACATAAGACTAGTAATCTAAGGATTGCTGATGGCGTGGTTTCAAAGCCAGTCAGGGACAAGAAGTTCTTTCCTTGAGCAAGTAACTGTACTTTCATTTTTTAGAACTGGTTGGTTTCAGGAATGGATTTGAGTCTTTCAATAAGCTTATAGCTTCCAACACAATCAAACTAAGATAAATTTGTGTAAACTAAACTTACATTGCACTTCAGAATGAGGTCAGTCATATCATCATCTATACAGAGAGCCGTGTCCCAAAAACTTGGCTCTATCCTACCAGAGATGATATCACACCGAAATATATCACAGTAATCTGCCAAACATACAGCATCTGGTCCCTGTAATATCACATATTGTTCACAAAAAAAAAAGAGATAAATAAAATGACATAATTTAATTTAACTAAGAAAATAATGACTTTTAAAGCTACTGATATATGAACTGAAGTATTATAAATTGTCACATCAAAGCATGTGTCAATCCTACTCAACTTATTGTACTACGCGATGAGATATTGTGCTATTTTGTGTATGGGCAATATTTCCTCTCTACAAGCTCTAGAAGCTAGATTCTGACCCAGAACAAACATATCTAAGAATGTATCTTTGACATGTCAATATATTTTCATTTTTCATATATGTTTCTGATAATTGTAGCAAAATGACTTACATATCTTCTATATGACACTTAACTATCAGGGTGTCCGTTTGACCCTTGAAATGACTCTTTGACCATTTAGAATTTCCAAAAGGCCTGACCCTCAGGATTTTAACTGGAGTCAAATTTTGTTAAAATCATGGGGATTAATTTGGCCTTGTAGTTGGTAAAACTAAGTCAAAATGACCCTCAGGATTTCATGGTAAGTGAACACCCTGATAACGAACATTTAATACTAACTTTTGATGATATAATTACAACACAACCAGACCTTTGACAACAAATAGAATTTTGTAAAGCAAAATGATAATGATCTTATACTTTTATTTGATATTTTAACTGTTATTCTTGAATATCAAAGCAAATTAAGCTATCAGCACTTCTAGTATGGCTGATGAACTTGATAGGATTTATAATATACATGAACTTACAACATACATATGGTCAGAATGTTTGTAGCTTAAATGTTTATCTAGGTACATCTCAGCATAGAACATTTTACCACAGTAATCACATGCCCATTTTCCGTACCCTTCCTCTGTTTTATGACTCTCGTGTTTATGATAAATATCCCTCTCTCCATGAAACGGGCATGACCTTGGCATTTCAACATTATGTGTTTTATATACTGGTTTCAAATGCTGAAATAATGATAGTATGATAATTAGGAACAAAACCATTAAATCATTACAAGTACATGTATTGTAATGATGTAAACATAATGAGTATTATAAATGTCCTTGAAATTGTTTTGAAAATTCTTTGTCTATTCGGTTAATAAGAAAAAAAGATGATGGATTACTTCAAGAATTGATTTACTTTTTACTCTTTTTTTTCCCAATAACTTATTTAAAAATTCTCAATAATTACATTACGCATGTAAAACATTTCAAAATGACTTACTGTACTGACTCAATTATTGATATATTATTAAGTATTATCAGTTTTAAAACATGTATGTAGTAGTCAGTCAAATTAATAAAATATTGTTGTAACAATTCATGACGCATTTGCTGTAGACGACTCCAAGCCAGCATGATGATGTGTGGTATAGAAGCTTTAATAATGCATACTTTAACTTAAGAGTTAAAACTTACATGTTTAACAAACTCCCTGACAGTTCTAGAATATCCTCTATCACATTCTAAACCAGACAATGAATTAAAAGTCAACCAAAACACAATCTGAAAAAATAAGATATTAAAGATTTATTCTAACAAAATTCACATACATGATAACTATTGCAATAGAAAAATGGTAAAATTCCATTTGATCCAATAAACTTTCAAAATTTTTCAGAGCTCACGGCCTGTTAAATTTCTCAGAACTTTCACATAGACTGTGACTGAGGTTAATAAAGAAGATCATAAACAAAATTTTGTTTAAATTTAAAACTAAAGCTTTTGATTTTATTGAACCATGAAAGAGTGATCAATGACATACATTTATTAATATAAGCTTGATCAAATAAGATACTTGTGGTTGTGTTTAATATGAATTATGGTGGTTTTGCCGAACCCATGAGTTGCGAAAGTGGTTTCGTCGATCTTATGTTATATAGTAATTGAAGGCAAAGTAGACATGGTTCATATATATAAAGTTTTTTTTATCATCAATATTTTGTTATATATTTTAAATCATTATTCGTTTTTTCAGGTTTTACTTATATACGTGTATATATTTCTATGATGTTGTTCTTTTTTTGTATTTTATAATGCTTTTATGTAAATATTACTATTATACTAAAGAAAACAATAAATAATAGGTTTAAATTTTCAATATCTTGTCTTTAATTGCATGAAAATGTGTGATAAACCACGATAATTGGCGTGCCCATTATAGCCTGGAACCCCGTTGTATCGATCTATTTACCCATAAGTCACAACTGCAGTTAAAAAATTTAAATTTCCCTGAATCTTTATTTTGTATCATTTATTTTGATTCTTTTGTCATAAATATTACATGGCAAACATCACTGATATAAAGTTTTAGCTTTGGAATATACGGTTATTTACAGACATGTCAAACAGGTTGAAGAATTAGGTCACGCCATTATATCGATGCATTGTGAGAATCGCTCAGTTAATCAAAGTTTTGGAAGTCTGACCCATCTTTATGCTAGATTTTTCAGTCAATTAGAATCAAAGATGTCTGTTTTAAAATGTCAGCATAAATTTAGGAACTTTCAACAGACAGTAAATGTGTTTTTAATAAGAACACACTATTTATAAGTCTATTTATTATCTACAAAGTCTGACGGTACTGGAAACATGTTTTTGACCATTTTTACGGCACAAAACAAATGCGAAAGATTTTCGTGACACTGTTGTAAATGTTAGCAGTCAGTAGCTAGTGCATTTTCAAAAAAATCTAAAGATTTGTAAATAGATCGATACAATGAATAGCACGATACAATGGGGTTCCACTATACAATAGAGAAACCACTACCTGTTTTTTATATAAGGTCAGTTCGCCGAACCAGTAGTTCGAAGAAACCACTCTCACCCTTTTATATATATAATTATGAATTCATATTCGGTATTTAGTCATACCCCAACCCATGCAACCCTTCCTCTACTAGTCTTTTTTTTTTAAATTGAGTTAAGAGTTACAGTTATTTATAAGATACCTATTATCCACATGGATTCAATGCAATGTTATATCTGTATTACATAAGGGTGTTCAGATTTACACTTTATTATGCATATTCGTCAGTTCTCTGATACCAGGTATATATATTAACGTACCTGCTGATACGAAACATTTGAAGTACGTACAGTTTTGAGTACGAACAAAGCGATTTATTGTTTTCATATCCAGTATGGAAATCCCAACCTATTAAATGTTTACAAACATTAATAAATATCATTATTAATAAATCAGAATGTATATCCTTGTCGTTAAACTTACAAATTCCGTGTACATCTCAACGCAGAGTTTCCTCTACAAACCATTTGTTTGTGAAGCTGACATTAGTTTGAATACTGCTAAATTATTTCATTACTAAAGGTTAAACAGCACCAAAAAATATCCCTCTTCATTTGATAACTGGAGCCAGTATAGTCCGTCTAATAAATTACGAATCATAACAAACTTAGGAGTGATATCTGTAAAGGGATTTCTTTTACAATCATGCAAAATCTCTGGCAATTCAGATTAAAAAGACTTTTATAAAAAGGTTTTTATAAATACATTTATTTTTCTATCATGGGCATGCTGGCATAATGTAATTATCAGAGTTAACAATATAAATATTCAATAATATTCATTATGAAATATATAAAAAGAATGAAATAACTAATGCTTATTTCTGGTTGAAAAACACAAATAACTTAAATAAGAACATTTAAAAAATGGTCCCACTTTAAACCAAGTAGATCTACAAGAAGTTTTAAACAAGAGCGATCAGTGATCACATGTGTCGCCTCATGATGGCCAATTTCATGTTGGGACAAGTTTTGTGACAGACGGACAGACAGACGGACAGTGCACAACTAGACTAGGTACGGATCATTCCTGTAAAGTTTGGATAAAATTGCACCAGTAGTTTATGAGGAGTAGTCCGTACAAGCTTTTGTGTATCTAGCAACACACAGAAAAAAAACACATTTTTATCAAAGGCCATAACTCGGCCAAAAATCATTCAACCGGAAAACCCGTGCAATATGCGTAAGGGCTTGAGCTACAGACTCCGTAGAGGCGACACAAAAATGGTATTGACAGTCAAAATTTCCTACTTTATAATGCATTGCCATTGAGCATGCAGGGTGGTTTAAATACAATATTCTATTTAATTAAATGACCTGGGACCATATGATTTATCAAAATGTCATGAAAAGACTAGAAAATCATGAAAGCCCGAGCCGTTGTTAAATATGGATGACTTAAGACGCCAAGAGAAAATAGCTTACTTCAATGACGACCCCGGTAGTTTCATTAGAAAACAGAATTGTGAGATGACGTCTCACTGCACGTGAAAAGCATGACCTAGCTAGTTTCTTTATACGAAAACCAGATAACGAATAACGCAATTACCGAAAAAGACGTATATTTTGTTGCAATGTCATTTGTCTTATTAAATTATTCGTCCTGCGTTGCGGGGCAGTAAATGCGTCCTTGTTCTTTTGCAATATTAAATACATGAAAAAAGGTCCATTAACCTTCTATTGTTTTCACAATCCGAACGTCTCGGAAATTACCGATAATAACTGACGGAAAGGGCCGAAAAGTTACGATTGTTGTTTTCATTCGCATTTGTCATATTGTTGATTTTTTAAAAGTTTTTTTAGTTGATTTATATATCAATATTTTCAATACTATACAGTCGTATCAGGTTCACAAAACATAGGAGCAATAAATTATGTCATGTCATAATTAACTAGCAGAATACAACTTCGCATTAGTGTAAATAAATTATAAAATAATTTTAAAACAAACATAAAATCGTGCATTGCTACAATGTATGTTGCCTCTTCGGAACGCACATCAATAATCACATTTGTGTTGAAACAGAGTTTATCTTTGGACATCAAGTTTTCTTTCAAGTAATCATATAGAATGTATATGAACAGTTATGGATAAAAATAAATCTGAATTTAACTAGCATTTGTGACGTTGAAAAAATTCTAACAGTACATTGTTCATAACCGCGACGCTTTTACAAGCCCATAATCATAGTCGGGATTTTTGTCAATTTTCAATGTTTTCATGAAATGTGCATGGTGTTCTCTGTCAAACATTGTCTTTTTCACAGCTGGAAGTTCATACATGTGACGCATCCATGACGAAAGATGCGGGAAATTTGAATCCGTGATAGTTGTTTCTGGAACAAGAGCATTTAGCACTGAAAGTCTTTCAAACCATGGCCACAACATGAAATCCGCCATACATACTTTCTTTCCTGAAACGTAATGTATAATAAAATGATATATAATATGATGTGATGTGATGTGATATGAAATGATATGATATGATATAGATCTAATATCGTATTTGTTACTTCATTCTCTATCATGAATCAATATTTGCTGACATTCTTTGCAACAGATTATTTTAAAGTGAAAAAAAAAATCTTCAAGATATCCCCCATTTTTTAAGGAAATATTTAGTAGGTTTACACAAAAAAATCTTATTCGGTAAAATTGCTTTAAACATTGTATAATGACTTAAATGAAATAGCAATAAAATATTAATATAAAATAGAATAACGTATCAGTGTGCTTTATTTTAGCAATTTGCCATGAAGACTAAAATATCCTTTTTCAGGGACAGTTAGTTGGTGGCTCCCTTTTTAATCAGTTACTTTTTAGTATGAGTATCTATAATTATAAAAAATAAGAAAAATCGCAAAACTAGTTTAAATTTCCGATAATTTCCTTTATAAAACATGTAGAACTTACTAAAACTTCTTTAATAATTCCAGAAAACCAGGACTTTCATAGAAAGCCTAAAGTGTATACGCAGTCCTAGGACATGATACAAGTACGTAAGTAAACAGTTTTATCATTAGTCAAAGAGTAAACACAGAAAATAATTTCATATTCTAGACAAAAATATATTGGCCCATGCACACTGAAAAGCGGAACGTCGATGAGCCATGACTTATGAGAGGCTAAAAATGGCCACGGCCGCGGGTCGTATTTAATTAAGGTAACGTGTCACCAACGCTGAAAAGCCTTTAACTCTATATCCATCTATAGAGAAGTCGCACCACTTTGAAATAAGTTTTGATGGAAAATTTAACGCAAAATAGTGATTTTTGGCAATTTTGAGATGTCCCCTCTTTGCCATTGTAACAGGAAATTTAAGATTGAGTATGCCGTTACAAATGCTATGATCCAGTCAACATTTTTTAACAGTATTGAAGCCTTTTCCATTGTTTCATAGCAATTTGAACTTGTAATAGGATGCTTTTCAATGAAAACAGCCATTTTTCACAAAATGCTCACGAAGTAATGGGTTAAAACGTAAAATTGTCTTAGTTTTGGTCTTAAAACTGATACCAAACTTGGACTTTTTATGAATCTGTTTTCTTAAATCCTGTACGATGTAAGCAAATTTTAATTTCAACAAAGGTCATCAATTTACAGCTGAAATGATATTTAATATAAGTGGCGATGGGGATACCAAGAATAAATACAAAATGCATTTTAAAAACATTTAAATGGAAAACGCGAGAGCCTGACGCTGTAGTTTCATAATAAAATAGAACCTGAAAGCTTTTAAACATACTCGGGACAAAAAACAACAACATCAGTTACAGTTCAATGCCCAGATGACCTAGCTCTAGCCGTTTATTTCGCTTTGGCTCTGTTATTAATATGGTTTAGATCTATAACATTAAAATTGTAAGCATGTAAACGATGGCAAAATAATAACGTTTTCATGCGACTAAATGTTTAACTAAACAAGAATAAAAACAACAAAATAGATCATATTACTACCTCCAAAGAAAGGGCCATCTCCTCTGGAGACCAGTTCCTTTTCGTATCTGGTAAAAGCTCTTAACATTCTGTTTAAAGCCGTTCTATCGTTGTTCCGTATTCCAGGACCCACGTCATAAAACGAGCCTATCAACTGAAAAAAATAAAACAAAAAGATATTGTACAAATGGACGACATTTGTTGATAAGTGAATAATATATATTTTCATTCTTCGTTATAAAGAAGAAACGAATGCATGTGTTCCTCTTAGTACACGGTACTTTACGCTTTGAAACAAGAAGAAAAACAATGAACTACGGTACCACAAAATATTTATAAGCTGTAAAATTTAGTTATTTTCTGCTGTATGACACAAGGAAACAACAACATATTCAACCAAGGGCCAGACGTAGACCATAGGTCAACCATTTTGAAAACACTTTATGTCATCATTTAAGTCTTGGTAAATGGTATTACACTCTAATTTTTTCATGTTTCAGTTAAAATTAATAAATGTTATATTGCTCAATTTTTTTTACTATGTAACTCAAAATTATTTTTTCATCAAACAGGAACATTTAGAAAATGATTATACATTAGCAATAGAAAACTAACAAACTTTGTTTATAAGGAGTTTCTATAGTCAGTACCTTTCCCATAGATTCCCAAAGTTGTCGATCTCTTGCTCGTTGATATGGGTCTGTAGGATTAAGTTTATTTTGAGGATACACTTCATCAAGATAATCATTGCATGTTGCTGATTCGTAAATCACGTGATCACCCCACTGTAAAACAGGAACTACTCCCGTAGGATTCATTTCAAATAGCCATTCTGGCTTCTTCTTAAGATTCACATTTACGGTTTCTACGCTGAAAAGCACATCAAGGGAACATAATATAAATAAGGTGCAGACAAGGTACTGTGTGTTTTAGATATTAGCCTATGACCAATTTATTTACATAACAAATTTGAAGTTACCTTTTAGATTTTTTATACATGTATTTACCATGGAAATAAAAAGAACAAACTTGGTAATGGGGTAAATGTTAAGCAGAAAAAAACAACATTGTTATGGGTGCCAGTATTCGACTTTGTGTCACTTTACTGAGATACTAGCCATTAAAATTCGTAACCGTTTATATAAGACATAGATAACATGTTATCTATGTCTCTGTTTATATATACTATAACCAATATAGACATTAATTTAGACAGATTTTATTTCATTACATATGTGTCTCGTCGGTGGACGATCAACTACATACTTACGGAATCTGTTTATGTTCCAGTACAAGACGTGTACGTTGAGCATAGGGACAAAATCTCATACTGTATAGCCGTAAAACTCCCGGCTTTAATGGTGGACATGCTTGACCTGTTGTAAATGCAGTTTTATCAACAGTGAATAACTTGTATAGTAAATAAAGTGCAGCAAAATCACAAGAAAATAATAAATAATTCAAAATATATTTACATGCACATACAAAATGATTCAATAAATATATCTTGCGGGGTTTTATTCTATAGATTTTCCATCATTGATGCCAAATGTTTTTATCTTTGGTATATGTAATTATATATATAATTAATATTTAACATATATGCCACGAAGGGAAACGTTATTAAGTTAATACCCGTTTAAAACTGTGATTTACTGGATAAGAAGTACGAACCAACCTTTTCCGAGTGCAAATTCCGTTATTCCAGAACTCATATCTCAACATACATATATGCGTTTCTTTTTGTTTCTGATGTTTGATACTAATTAAATGTTTATTGTATATATAACGTCGGCCCAGATTATAAACCAGAATTAAAGTACATGTATACCGCTTGTAAATAACACTTACCCGTACTACATCTTAAACTTCTTTAAACGTTCATAACGGGAAGTGAACACGATAAAGAAAGTATAGTATCATTTCGTTTTAATAGTTAGAAAGAAACAAAGAGTTATTGTATTTGTTTTTGATTGATTCTTGTTTCTTGTACATAGAAATGGTATACTCTCAGCGAAGTTGCATGTACATGAAGTCTAGAGCTTGTAAAATAGAAAAAATGGAAGCCCTAAAGAACGCCAAAAAAAAAAAGGAAACTGTTGCAGGCTCCTGTTCATCACGGGTGTGGAACCCCATATGTATCTCAAAAATGAGCATCAGTAAAAAGTATATGTGAATTTCCGCTGTTCCAGATGTGAAGCATAACACCAAATGTGACTGTGAAAATAGGTCAATCGCAGGGCAAGTTTTCATTTTTTTGAACAGTTTAATAAAATTCAATCTTTTCTTTTTTAAAGAAAATCGAAATGTGATTCTACCCTCCTGACTCTCCTCTAATGTCAAATGTTAAAGGCATGTGTTACGTTTACATACAGGTGCACTGTAGAAAAAAGAACTGCACAGTAGATATTTTTGAACTTGATTTAAGAATATTAAATTATACAGTAGTAACAGCTTAACGAGAAACATTACAATGTTGGAAAGACCCATTGAGGCACTTTTTTGGATTTATTTACCTCATATTTTCATCACAAACGGCTTGCACATTTATGGCATGATATCCTTTGCGGCATACAAATATGGGTTCTTGTGTCCCTGGTGGTGCCATAATGGGTAAAAGGGTGCCATCAATGCACCCACTAACATTGGGGGAAGAAGGCAATTTGATAAAACCTCTGTTTGCTTATTGCTGCTTGAGTGTGGTCTGGCATCTTAATGTTGTTAAGCTTATTGCAAATGGCCTCACATACTCTTCCAACTATTCGGCTACTCGATGACTTTGAAATGCCATGGAGATCACTAGTTTCGGATAAGTAATCCTCTTTCGCCAAAAGTCAAAGGATGGTCAGCACCTATACATATAGAATGTATATACTTAAAAGATATGAGCCGTGTCATGACAAAACCAACATAGTGCGTTTGCGACCAGCATGGATCCAGACCAGCCTGCGCATCCGCGCAGTCTGATCAGGATCCATGCTGTTCGCTATCAGTTTCTCTATTTGTAATAGGGTTGGTAAGCGAACAGCATGGATCCTGATCAGACTGCGCGGATGCGCAGGCTGGTCTGGATCCATGCTGGTCGCAAACCCATTATGTTGGTTTTTTCGTGACACGGCTCATATGTACTAAATGCATAACAGCTGATTTTTATAAATTTTAAATGAACAAATTGAATCTGTAGTTAGGATTCAACATTTTTATGAGTGTATGTACTTTAGCCTTAAGTTTGCACTTAGGGACTTTTCTTGAAACGCATTTTTATCCCAGTTTTGCACTTACGACTGAAATTGGTCCTAGGATTCTTTATAAAGCACACCCAAAATCTTCTTATGTTTACGTTTAACGTAATCATGGCATTACTTACGAGTTGTTTTAATTAAAGGAACTCCACTGTGGCCAAAAAGCCTTAAACCATAAAATTTGAATTTCTAACAAAGATCGGCTGTACATAGCACTTAAAACAGAAAGAACAATGCAAGTTTAGGTATTTTTAACAATTAATATAATTATCTATAAGTAAATGATCTGAAATTTTGCACGCAAATTATTTCTCTACACTTACATCAAATGTTACACAATCTTGAAAAAAAAAATCCAGTGCTGTCATGTCAAAATTTTTATCAGATTGAATTTTCCAATTCATTTATACTAAAAAATTCTGGTACATGTACAGCAGTTGTCTTATCATGAACTCTTCTTCAAGTGTTATTGTTCAAACATTTTGTGCATACCTTATATAATGGCCGGAAAATAATTAATTCTAAAATGTGGGCAAAGAATTGCAATGTTGATGACCCCAAGATCTGACTTCAGCCCAGATCTTCTTAAGCCTTTACATAGATGATCTGAACTTTAGTCAGATTGGATGACCTTCAAGTTAATAAATTCAATACTTACTAGATCTAGTTTAATATATTGAGTAAGTTTTTTTTATAAAAATATTAAAAAGTAAGTTCTGCCACTGGAGTATTTGAACTGAAGACAAATGGTCGTTTTTTTATATTTATTATGTACAAAATCAATATAAATACAATGTATATAGATTGGTATCACATTGGCAGTTTTGTATAATACGAAAATACAAAAGTCTATATTAAGATAAACAAAACGTCACATCATAACTTTGATGACTGAACAAGTCCGTAATCGTAATCTGGATTTTTATCAACCATTAATGACTTTAAAAAATGAGCATGGTGTTCCCTGTCAAACATTGTCTTTTTCACAGCCGGAAGTTCATACATGTGACGCATCCAAGACGAAAGACGCGGGAAATTTGAATCTGTTATAGTTGTTTCCGGTACAATAGCATTTACCACCGGAAGTCTCTCGAACCATGGCCACAACATGAAATCTGCCATACACACTTTCTTTCCTAATAAAACAGAAAATAGTTGAAATATTTGATAAATATCGAAATGTGGTTCAAATTAAAATTCTTTTAAATCATTGGTTCCCTAGTTTGCTGACGGGATGTATATTGAAAATGACATCAAATTACGTCATTAGTTTTCAAAAAATATATATCAAAGAAGATAACACTGCGCATTTTTTTTAAAATAATTTTTACATGTTAGATCTATATAAGAAAGACTTTACAGCCCTCCAATAAGTAAATGATTACTTTCTTTTGACACACCTTTAAAAAAATATTGCTTAGCAAAATAATCTTCTTTGTATCGGAATATTTATAAAAGATAAGCAACATTTATTGTACAACAAAGTTGGCTCACCTCCGAAAAATGGTCCCTGTCCCCTCGAAGCTAATTCTTTCTCATACCTAGTGAACGCTCGCATCATTCTATCAAAGACTTTCTTATCTTGTCCTTGTGTGCCAGCAACATCGTAGAACGAACTTATCAACTGAAAAATGTGTGTAGTTAAAGAATAAGTTAAAGATGTTAAAGAGGTTCGTAAATGCGTGGCAAGTTAATATAACTTGATCTCATTCCATGCAAAGTTTTGACTCTCATCATCATCACATGACATGTAAAAATTGAATAACTGTATCCATGACGACCGATTATGTACTTGTATAAAAATAAAATGTCTGTTTTGTTATAATAGTTATCATATCATTGTGTACCATTTTGAAGTCAGCTTATTTTCAGGAGGAAAAAAATGTTACAGATTAACATGAATCCTAGGCAGATAACCAAAACCTGAAAACCCTTTTATTAACAACAGTAATAACTTATCACATGAGAGACACGTACAAATGCATGAAAAAAAACTGATATACTTTTCCGCACCTTGTTCATCGACTCCCATAGTTGCCTGTCCCTAGCTAATTGGTAAGGGTCATTGGGATTTAATTTTTCACGTGGATACACTTCATCAAGATAGTCATTGCACGTTGCTGACTCGTGAAGAACGTGCCCATCCCATTCTAGTACCGGCACAAGTCCGATAGGGTTCATTTCAAATAACCAATCAGGTTTCCGCTTTAAGTTGACATTGACCGTTTCAAAACTGCAACCGCAAAAAAAACTACAATTTACATTTAACGTTTTTGAAGGAATGTGGTAGTTTTAAGTACGTGTCATAGGGCAACTTTACAGCTTTACATCTACACTTTTGTATTTTACAATGAACAATATGTTTTGTGCATTGCAATGTTTCGTGCATATAACCCCAGAATAAATCAACTATTCTTCACAATGTGTTAGCTAAAAGCTGGGAAGACATATCTTCCCAGGAAAAAGTAAGGATACAAATAATCATCTTTGTAAAGCTTAGTTACATGGTTCTGTGATTTCTGTGATTCCAGTCATTTCTTTCTTTCACAATAATGAATATGATACACAAATGTCCAAAATATGATTTCAGTTCCGTCAAGGCAAACCATCTCAGTAGCTTCCTTTTAATATTTCAATAAAACCATATAATCAAGATAAGGAGCTTTGTTTCATTACCATTTAATAACAATTCATACTTACGGGATCTGTTTATGTTCCAGTACAAGACGTGTACGTTGAGCATAGGGACAAAACCTCATACTGTATAGTCGTAAAACTCCCGGCTTTAATGGTGGACATGCTTGACCTGAAGTTGATGATACATAATAATATAGATATACAAGATTTTTATGTATCATAAATATTATGGGGATTGAACGGCGGCGACTATTGCTAGCAACAAAGCCCGGGCTTACCTCCTTCATTATTTCACTGGTTACTGTGCGTTTTACGTGCTCATTGACCGCTGTACAGTGACCTACTATTCATTTCTTTGGCTTATTACTCGTGAAAATTGCGTTGAGGTTAATTATCATCAGTATAGACTACTTAATGTTAAAGGACAAATATCTTTACCTTTAGCTTTGTTGTTTTAGACATTATTTTTTAAAGCTCATCTACATACTTAAAGACGTCTTAAAAGAGGACCAATAGACCATGGAACCTACCAAATATACGGACAGACGGACGGACAGACGGACGGACGGAGCCTATTTCTATATCCCCCTTTTTTCTTCGAAAAGGCGGGGGACAAAAACAAGTGACCCAAGCTCCTACGCCAATATTATCCATTGAAGGATCATGATTTGTTCTAACTTGTTTGTAACAGACAAGTATTGTTAACAGACTAACATATCAAATATCTCAATTGACAGTATGGTTTTAGATACATGTATGTATAACTTGTGCACAACATATAAGGTTATCCGTATATGACTGGGAGACGTTACAGTGTTAAAAACTAGGACGTTAATGGCAAGATTTAGATTATCTAGGCAATTTAGATAATCTAGGTTAAAATTCCTTTCTTTTAAGCATAGATGTTCCACAAAGATTTTCATAAAAGTAAATTATGATATTTTTTTCTAAAAACTCTATGCAGGTTTGATAATTTTTATTTATAATGGTAGATCAAGATTTGCACTTCCTTGTCTGACCAATGTGCTCATATAATACAATCAACATTATAAAACTAATAGTGTCAAAATTCTAGCTACTTCTATATTATGCTGAAAATTATCAAGCTTGATGGCTGCATCAACTCTACAACTCTTGTTTTTATTTCTTCAAGAACGTTCTCAATTAAGATTAAGAATGATTAATAATTCAATATGTACCTCTCCCGATGGAAAACTCTGTCACTGAAGAACTCATGTTAGAGTTGAGTCTGGTAAATGAAGTCCAAGCAAATTTTACATCAAAGGATCGAGTCCAATAACGCACCGATCTTGTCAGTCCATTCATTAGGAGATATTTTTTCTACATACTAGATGACCTACATAACAAAATTATATCAATGTTTTCATATCTGTGTTTACCAAATTCTACTTTTTGACCCCTAATATTTCCTTGTAGAACGCTAAAATGATTTTGTATAAAAAATATAGATCAATGCAAGCAACGTGCAATAAAAAGACACTTAAACTTGAACCACATCAATTAAATCATCTAATTAGCTTAAAACTATTTTCAAGTTTCAAACCTATAATAGTTATTCCTGTCTATGTATATACTAAAATAATAAAGCTATACAGTAACACACGGATTTATATTACACCCTGTATTGTAATATAAATCCGTGAGTAACACGAGGTTAAATATTCAGGCGCTTGCGGTTTTTTTCTTGTCCTCTTTCTTTGGTTTCCCTTCCCATACTCCCATTTATTGTTTGCAACTAACAAATCCGTGATCGTACAAAATGTCGCGGGGAACGTGTGGTGGCCGATAGCGTCCATTTTAAGCCGCAAGAAATTTTACGGTCAGTTTATATTTAAAATGTCGCGTCCACGAAATTTTATGTCGAAATTGTCGCAGCTTATAGAAACTCTCGAGTTTTTCAATCACACTTCAGTCGTAAAAAGTAGAGTTTTACGAAGGAAACCGCGACATTTTGTGTCGACATAGTAGATTAAGTCACGCAAACATATGCCTACTTAAGGTAGCCGATTGTAGCCAGTGTAATCCGCGGTGCATAACCTCGTCCTGTAAAAAGTTGAGTTTGAGCATTAAGATTCGACTTTTTGTGCCCGCAAAAAGTCGCGGTTTCTTATAAAAAGTGGTGGGTTAAAATCCTCGACTTTTTATGGGTTATAATTTTCCCCTCGACTTTATAGAATTTCTACAACACTTGCAAAAAAGTCGACTTTTTATAGACAAATGACGGGTAAAATTTAGTCAAACTATGGACGCTACAGGTCACTAAAGTCAAAATGTTCCTTTCTGTTTCCAACAAATGATATAAATATCGAGGTTATACATTCCCCGCGACATTTTGTATAATTTTGGAAGTAGATCTCGCGGATTTTTGAGTTGCCCTCGACATTTCATGATAGATCTAACACGATAAAATTTCTCGCGGGCTTGAAAGGAACGCGCATGTACCAGGAGCTCAAGATTGTGCTAGATTTTTAAGTCTTTTTTTTTCATAAAGGAAATAAATCTTAAACAATAAACATTACATGTATGAATATATATAGCATTAACTATTTACAAAAAATAATGTTTTCGTAGCCGGCACGTGTGTTTTCATGGTACGGTGACGTTTTTTGAATTTTCCCGCGTAAAATTTTGGATTACTTCCCTTGCAAAAAGATCACTTCCGCCCTGCTCGGCGCTTGGCAGCCATTTGCATTATTTGGTAAATGTCGGCTGACATTCGAGGATACACAGGAATTTCATCGGTCAGGAGATTGAAATCGTATTTCCTACCATTGTAAGTATACAGATAAATGACTTTTTGCTTTGAATACCTGTTATTTGCATCCGAACTTTAGGAATCAGTGTGAAATTGACGCCCATGCGCCGAAGAGACCGTGAATGCCAAGAAGCTTGTTGTTCAATGTCATTGAAAAGCATATAATTCGCCTGTTTTACATTGATGAGAAATTTCTTCGACAGTTCAAACAACTCAAACAAATTGATCATGGGAGTATCAATGTTTGTATGTTAAATTTCATTGTTTTGCTGGAGGACAAAATAAAATACGACCTTGCCCTTTGTTTATCAAACTGTCTTCTAGTTTTAAGCAGAATTAATATCACTGTGACCTTAATCTCATAATTTGACAAAAGATAATAATATGAAATTAGGCAAAGCCTATGAACGGAAAAGTCGGTTTAAGAAAATGTTCATAAATAAAAGGTGTCATTGGGTATTTCAAGTCAAGTAAATTTTATTTATAAGCGGAATACATGAACAATAAACATTTCATACTCACTCGAAATACTCGACAATTATTATAAATCAGAAAACTTGCAATTGTTTTTGAATACCCGCCAACTATCATTGAGTTACATAAATGAAAATGGCGGCGCCCAACTAGAACTGACACTGAAAATTTCATTGATCGGTATAGAATTTATATATTCTTTAATTGTTTTTTTATTTGATTGTCTTAAATATACACGTATAGTCTATAGCCGGGCAAGCCAAAGCCCGGCCTGCTTTGCGGTCCCGGCCTTTGACATACCCTCATGAATAAGTCTTGAACCTCAAAGTGAGCACTTTGACAAAATTTGTAATACTTTAATTCATGAGTAAAAGTTTTCAGGATCATTTCAGAAGTTCAGGATTTTAACTCTCCTGAAAGCCTTCTATTTCCTATGTAAAGCCAGAGACGTAGATAACATCCGATGATCATGAACACCCTAAGATTCCCATTTCGGGAAAAGTACTTTCACAAATCTTCGTATTTGGATTAATGGAATTTTGAATTGGAACCATGAGATAGGAAACCAGAAAAAAACTGATTCCTGGCGTTCTCCAAATATGATAGGACAGGGAACCAAAATAACCTCCAATGAAGAGCAGGCTTATTTATTACACATTATTTTGCTGTACTTCAGGCAAAAGTTAAAGTTATGCCTGCTATGAGCTTGATATAATGCATTTCAAAAACGTCTGAGCCTCTGGTGTCTATGCAAAAAGCATGTACATGTTAAAAACAATTTTTCTTTTTAATTGTCAGGCCAGTGTGCAATGGCGAGTGTACAAGTGGTCAAGACAGAGATTGAAGATCTGCAGGCAGGTGATGCAGGTACAGATCAACAGCTGATTGCTGTACAAACACCAACAGATGACCAGCAACTTATTATGGTCACATTTGGTGGCTCTGGTAAGTGCAGATTTAATGTAACACTGACACTTTTTAAGCCATGTAGCATCTTCCTTATGGTTGAAGACCTTGGGCGACCCTTGGCAAGAGCAAACATTTGGGTAAAACCATACTGGCTGGAATAGCTTCTTCACATGAAAAAAATACAAAGTGGCCAGCTGGATTTTGGTGAGGGGCAAGTTATTTAAAGTTAGCAACTTTATCTACTTAGTCATATAGGCTCCTATACCTTTAACATGACATTGGTACTGGTCAGTCTAGGAAGCAGTCTCATGAGTTATAAAAAATCAGCATCTAGCTTCTTGTCACATAATGTCAGTGTAAGATTTTCAGTGAAAGAATTAGATATTCCCTTTGTTGTAAATTTTTCATTGATAAAAATTTTCCCACCCATAGTTGAAAAATATTTGCTTTGATATTTGTAGCTCAATAATACAAAATTCCTGCAGTTTTTTTCTTACAATATGTGCATATTTACACTCTAGGGACTAGCTGCTACTGAGTGATGAACTTCCAGGCTTTTAAGCAATTATTAAAGTGACATTATCATGGGTGCAAGTTTTCAGGCATATGCCCAATTTTCAACTTGCACCCATGCATTATGCCCGTCCAATTTTAAATAGTGGATACATAGATAAAAGTCGAAATAACTCTTAATTTTGTCATAATTGAGTTCAATATGACTATGAGCATAATCTTTAATGTCACTTTCTCAAGAAAAATGTTTTGCATTTATTCAGTTTTGGTACCAAATTTTTATTTTTACTATTTACAGGTGTTACAGCTTCAGATGGAACAGAAGGTATCTATGTAGAGCAGGATATTTCTGAGGGAGGTGAGACAAGATTGTGTGACAACGAGACCCAGACAGAGACTGTGTTTGGACTGGAGGATCTACCTACTGTAAAAGAAATTGTCCGTAAAACTATTGCCAAAACTAGAAAATTAGAACAAGAGCAGCATAAGCCAACACAGGATGTCACTGCTGGCCCCATTAACGGAATCTACACTTGTAATATCTGTGCAAAAGTAAGAAATCTGTATTAAAATAAATATTCATAGGTTTAGGTGAATTTTTTTTAGAAAGAGTTTTGTTGAAGTTTTTTATGTTGTAACTTGATTGTGTAAATAAATTGTGTCTTTTGTAGAGGTTGTCATTTTCCATGATTTGAAGATTAAATTGAAAAACCTTATTACTGATAGCTCAAACTACCAAAAGTGTAAGTATCTAAAGTTGCGCTGTTTCGGTATCTTAGGTTGAAAGTTTTAAAATATGAGCTAATCTTATTCAAAAGATTTAACATATAAGGTGTTGAAACATAGGCAATAAATCAGTTACAGTCATTGTGATATATTGTTTTTATATGAATGATTAACATAGGTAGCTAATGTTGTATTATTTATACAGGTATGTAGAAATAAGATAAGTTGGCAGAATCACCTGTCCGCACATAATGGAGATGATGTTTATATGTGTGGGGTGTGTGGTCAACTGTTTACATTAAGAATTACACTGAAAGCTCACCTGGATATTCATGTCAGAGAGGTATTTTATTTATTTCACCTGTATTTTATTTGTCAATTTTTATTTTGTTTTAATTAAAATTTAATTATGGAGGTGATAAGATCTATCTGATCAATTGCCTACGAAGTAAATGGTTTTGTAACTTTTTAACTGTATAGAGGAGTGAAGTGATAATCAATAACATGTAGTAAAGGATATGTATAGATAGTAAAGGATTTATAGAGAAACAACTTAGAATATGATCAGACAAGGATTGTTAATGTATATAGATGTTTTATCAATTTTATAGCAAACCATCCAAGCAGTTAAATAAATTTCAGTCCACCCAATACTGTAATATGTATTAAATCTAGTCGCATTAACATCGTGTATCATTCAAATATGATTAATTGATTTTATTATTTTTATCCAATTTTTATGTTTGATGTTATGTCATTTAGTAGACATAATCATAGTTGTAATATTGATTTTGTGAATAAAGTCTTCTTTTATCAAGCATTTGAAACATTAGTTTTGATACAAAGGTAAATGTGAAAATGGAAAATGCTGTTTCTTTTCCCATACTTTACTACTATCTATTAAAAACCTGTCTTTGTCTTAAAATTAGAGACAGCTTAAAGAAAATTTTACTCAGGTCTTTTTAAGTCTAAACTATGCAAATATTTGCACTGTACAATTGACCACAATATTTGTTTCAATCTCTCTAGGAAAGGAAGCTGAAAAAACAGCGTGATTTGATGTATGGGTCAGCTGACTTAAAGATTGGAGGTGTGTACATGCCTGGAGACATCGTGCCAAAAGACGATGATAAAAGCCTCAACAAACAACTTTGCCTCGATACAGGGAATATTCTCAACCAAGATGGTCCTCACACTGATAATTATGTGGCTGCAACTGAAGAGGTAGAAAATATCGCCAGCCCTGATTCCCTGAATATTAAAGAAGATACTGAGCTGATGGAGGATGGGTCAGTGGAGGATAATGAAGGTGGTTTTGTTTATGCCTGTAACATTTGTGGTGTACAGTATGCTGTGAAAGAGGACTGTGAGAAGCATCTTAAAGTGCATACAGGTATTGTTCAGAAAGAAAGGATTAGTACTAGTGTCTGATCACAGCAAGCTCACTTTGCTCTATGTTTTTAAAAATCATTCCATTGTTGTATTTCTCTTGTTTGTTGCATATGAAAGTATAGAAAACAGGAGCTTTTTCACCACTTGCTCCTCACCACCATGGATTTATATCCTTTTGGATTCTTTTATGTGAGGAAGTTATCCAGCCAGCTTATGGAAGTTTCATGGTTCTACTCAGATGCCTGTTTGTTCCTTTAATAATACATGGATGATCATGTGAGGTCATCCTCTAGCAATAAAACTTTAAAGTTACCATTTGATTTTAACAGTGTCAATGTAACATAAAACCCAACCAAAAAAAAAAAAAGATAGGGAAGATATTTGAATTTCATTCCTTGTTGTGTATTGAATGATATTACTAAATTCTTGTTGTGTATTAAATGATATTTGTTTTAGATTACTATTTAGGTTGATAAAACATGACGCTTATTAGAATCTTTCTGTACTTTATTTATTTATTAATTTATCTTATGGGATAGATGCCTCTTGAGACATCATTATTTTTAAGACGATCAAGATTTCTTCTGACATCAAAGGATATAACAATATATTGAAATGTTTCATTATTAAGGGGGTGCTGACCAAGCTGGTTCATCAAAGGAAGACAGTCCTGTTGGAAGTCCTTCTGCTTCACCATTAGAGAAAATAGTCTCACCTCCGAAAAATAGATGGAGCTCCTATATCTATGCATGCAATGTCTGTGGCAAGCAGGTAAATTTGAAGCATACATGTATATAATGTCTTTTTTTATATAAAAAACACAGGTTATTGAGCTGTTTTATAGGTTATTTAAAATGAAATTTGATTTAAATTTTTTTTGTTATGTTCTTTGGTTCAGTTGTATACATTTCTTAAACTTACTCTTCATATAAGTGTTACAATGCTTATTGTAAAAGTGTTCTACATACATGTAATAAATACACATTTTTTCATTTCTGCATAAATATTTTTTTTTCTTCAAAATTCATTATCCTTTTACAGTGTTTTGCATGGTAAAGGTACTTTATATACATGTATATATTCAGGGCTTTCATTAAGTTCCAAACTTATGAAGTCAGAGACTGAAATGTCTGACACTGGAAGTCACATTATATAGGTATTGAAGGAAAAGCATTATATTTTGAAAGTCACTAGCCATAATCAGGAGTAAATGACTCCCAAACTTCCACTAATGGAAGCCCAGAATTATATTGCTATTTGGCATTTTAATTGTAAAGTAATTTTAAATTAATTGAGTTTTATCAGTTATTAGTTATTTGTTGTTCAAATGAGTTTTTATTTTTTTTGGTAAAAATTATGTTTGTTTTATTTTAGTATACTAACAAGAGTAACTGTAAACGTCATATGATGATACATACAGATGATCGTAAACTGTATAAATGTGAATACTGTGGTAAATGTTTCTCCCAGAAGTACGAGGTTAGAATGCATGCCCGAATACACACAGGTATGTTAAACTTAAAACGTTCATTTATTTTTTTGGCTTTTGAACAATTGTAAATATATAGTAAAGATTTATTTAAAACAATTCAGAGATAGTTTTCATGGAAAATTCATTGTAAATGATAATGTAAATGACTTTTGACTTTTGTAAGATTACACTTTTTACTAAATAGTAATGGAAATCCATTTTTTTTCCTTGTTAATAAGAGAATTTATTTAACTTCTTTTCAATTAACAATAAATGAATTTTTTCAAAGACTTTTATATGACATTGTAGTTCATTTTATTACAGGTGAAAAGCCATTTACTTGTGCTGTTTGTGGAAAAACTTTTACTGAACGTGGAAACTGGCGACGTCACACACAGATCCATGTTCGTCCTCAGGAAGCATCACCATACAGGTGTGGTATCTGTTGTAAGGGATTTTTCCATGCTGAAAAACTACAGGTTTGTCTAATATAAGTGTAAAAAAATTTGTCTTTCTCACCTGCACATTTACGTACATGTAAGATAGAATTAACATAAATAACTCGTAGACCCAAACAGTGCTTGATGTGCATATTTTGCCTTATAATTGTCATCTTTTGAATTTGTTATTTTAATAAGTTTCAATTCATGAAAATCCTGGTTATGATTCTGGAGTAGTGCAGGTCACTTTTGTCATGATATATCATGAATTCTTTTCTAAGGTCCTACTAAATCTGTGCAATTTATTATTTGTCAATTATCATGTAAAGGTAATGTTTATAAATAAAATATTGTTTTAAACTAAGGTCATTCACACTGTACTTCTGCTCTGACATGTTCAGAAGTTATCAGTTTGTTACAAAAGTTAATCTACTTGTTCTGGTAAACTGCTTGGCAAGAAATATAATTCTGTACAATCTATCAGATTTTAAATGTAAGGTGAATGTATGCAATAAAAGTATTGTTATATTTAAAGGTTCATCTTCAAATACATTCTGGGCAGCGTCCATTCGTATGCACTGTTTGTGGACGTAAGGTGAAAAAGATAGGAGATATGTATCGACATCTGAGAACACACACTGGAGAAAAACCCTACAAGTGTCAGGTAATATATTAAGGTTTAGCCTCAGTTACTTCAGAGTTTCATGGTTTCTGTATTAGTACTGAGATGTATGATCTACACATTTTGTTTTTTTAAATGAAAAATTTTCTGTTTAAAGGTAAGCAAACTATATAGGTATATTTAATATCAGAACCAAAATGTAGATATTTCTAGGGCTTGTTCTCGCTAGAAATAGACATATTCTGAAATAAATTGTTTTTAGTTACTGATAAAAATGTATTTGATGTTTTTACAGGTATGTGGTAAAGGGTTTGCCCAGAATGGCAATTTAAAAGACCATATGAAAGTTCACACTGGAGAGAAGCCTCATGTCTGTGATTTATGTGGACAGGGATTTGCCAGGAAAATACTGCTCAAAGATCACATTAAAAGTCAACATAGAGGTATATTAAATACAAACATAAATTTTTATGCCCTTGGATGAATAGATTGGGAGAGTGTATTGTTTTTCATCAGTTTATTTAGTTGATACAGAATTTAGATCAGTTGTGTAGGAAGCTATAACCTTATAAAAACACTCCGGTAACCAACCAGTAACCAACAGTTCTGGTAACCAACCAGTTCCGGTAACCAACCAGTAATAAGCAGTGAGTGCGAAGCTTCTTGCTTTAGGAAAGAAATACTTGCCTCTGATTGGTTTTCAACCCAGTCCGCTCGTGATACTTGGATATCTGGTCTGATACAATAACCACTTTACCACTCTGTGTGTATTTCTCAGTCTTGTCTGAACACACTATAACCTTGACCATAACATGGAAGTCCTTGCATCAGAGGGGAGGGGGAGGGTAGTTTAATTAGATCAATATTGACATTGATGTTAATATCATGTTTAACTGAATTAGAGATATACATTTCAGTAGACTATTTATTATGATTGTGATTGAGCAATAATTGATAGTGAAAAATGTTTAAAGTAAAATTGTAATCATGTCTAAAATATAAAAAGACCCCCAATCTCCAAAGAATACTGTTGATTAAAAAGGAAGATGAGAGGTGTTTCTGAGGTTCTAAAATATGATCTGACATAATGCATTGAAGGTAACGTAAGATCTTTCGATGCAAACAGAGGTGACTTAACAGTTTCAAATGTGACTAATGTTGACAATGTATATACATGTATTTTTTGTATTTAATAGTACATAGTTTTAAGATATTAGTTTGTATTGTAAATGTATACATTTATATGGTTATGTTTGAATATTAAATTTTTTGAAACTAAGATATTGCTTTGAAATAATGCTAGCTATAGTTGCTAGTTTTTGAACGAATTGTAGTGTATTTCAACCTTCCAGCTAGGTCAACAGTGTCATGCCTACACTTCCTTAATAACATCAGTACTTGTTTATCCAGGAAGTGATTTTTTACACTGCCTAATATAAGCTTTAAACATAGTTCACAAGTCATTTTGAAATGTTTAAATTAAACTAATTTTCACAGTATAATTAAGGGTTTTTTTAATGAAACATTTTGTATTGATATTTCAACTTTTTTTCCAGGAACAACATTACAGGACTTGACTGAGGCAGCCCTTGAAGAGATTGAACGACAGGAAGCGGCCATGGAGAATTTAGATGGTACAGAAACTATTGCTGCTGGTAGTGTTATACATGAAATCTCTGCAGGTATCTTTTCTCTTAGGAACTGTTTAATAGTGCATGGAGTAACATAGCAGAAATGATTTTATACTAGTAGTTTTCATGTTAGTTTGTTAACTTTTTAGACAACTTGGATCTGCAAAAAAATCCAAATAAATAAAATAACCAGACAATTTGGTGATTTAGCAATTAGGGGAAAAAAACACCTTGAGATGTGCTTGCCATTTAGTACATTCCACTGCATATCTATAAAGTTCTATATTAGGGAAATGGTAAATGACCTTTCATGATAGGACATGTGGCTTTTCAACACATATAAGTAGTCGTATTTGATTGTTATAAGGGGGAAATAAATTGATACATTATAGGTTTCCTGTAAATATTCTTTACTCAGAGGTGGCCATAAGAACATGTTTGACTGAATAAATTTGTCAAGTTTAACAACACCCTTTAATGCTAACACTTCAAAATGTGCATATTGGACTTGTTTATTTTTACCAGGAAATGTACCTAAGATCTTGTCAGCCACAACAATCAGTAAGACCATTCCAACATCAGCCCTCGGTAAAACTATTGTGATTGGTGGACCTGAGGTAACAACAGCTGACGAGGCTGAGCTTCTACACGAGGAGCAAGAACTAGAACTACATGATGTACATGTAAGATTATATAATAATTATATAATTTAATTTAATTATAGGATAACTGATTCTTAATTGAGAAAGAGATGGTTATGGTGTTTGTCAATATTGTGGCAGCTTAAGTTTTATTAGTCAGATATTGAGGTAATGGTGAAAATGATGTTCTTAATATGATTTTAACATAGAATATACAAGTAAATGATTCCTAACATATTTGTACATAGAATATACAAGTTTATGATAATCACTTGTTAAATATACAAGTAAATAATGATCCATCGTTAAATATAGTATAAAAATGATACAAAAATAATACATTATTATTATTTTTTAAGACAACATTAACAGAGAAGGAGTTGGAAGCTGCCCATGTGTTAACAGTGGTACAAGATGGTGATAACATGTTGTATACATTAAACCCATCCACAAACCAGGTACAACAGATAGTTGTCAATTCAGAGCAAGCAGAACAAGTTGTTGTCACTACCAGTGCTCAGTCCGATTTAGAAGTTCAAAATTCATGAACAAAAATAGCTTCTTTTCTCAACCGAAATCCTAAAACTATTTCCTAGTTTGAATCAAAGGTTGGAATATATGAACATTGAAAACATTTTAAAATGCATGGTATATTATACTTACCCCAGTATTTGTTTTTAAGTGATGCAGTAATTTTCTGAAGTTACATGCTGATATAATTACAGACTGTCTAGATGACTTTCTTATGGTTAATATGACCATTGTACAATGTATATAATATATAGTTTCAGAGTAAAGCAATATATATGGGGAAGAAATATGAGTGGGGAAGAAATAATCTCTAATTAAACAACCATATTTCTTTGAAAGTCATTGAGCTCGACTGTAGGATGAAAATGAGCAGGATGAAAATTAGGGAGTGCATGCCTTCCTGAAAAAAAAAATCACATGTAGATAACCATATTTTTATGCCCCCGCCATGTAATGGCCGGGGCATATAGTGTTACCCTGTTCCGTCCTTCCGTCATTCTGTCATTCCGTCATCATCAGTTTCCGTTCATTATTTTAAGAACGGTTGCACACATTCAACTCAAATTTGACATATGGATATGTCTTGACAAAATACAGGTCAAGTTCGAATTTGGTCATGGTTCGATGACTTTTGGCAGAGTTATGCCCCTTTTACTTTGAAAATAATATGAAATTTTCAGTTTCCGTTCATTATCTCCCCAACGGTACAACACATTCAACTCAAACTTGACATATGGATATGTCATGAGAAAATACAGGTCAAGTTCAAATTTGGTCATGGTTCGATGATTTTTGGCAGAGTTATGCCCCTTTTACTTTGAAAATAATCTGAAATTTTCAGTTTCCGTTCATTATCTCCCCAACGGTAAAACACATTCAACTCAAACTTGACATATGGATATGTCTTGAGAAAATACAGGTCAAGTTCGAATTTTGGTCATGGTTCGATGATTTTTGGCAGAGTTATGCCCCTTTTACTTTGAAAATAATATGAAATTTTTTCAGTTTCCGTTCAATTAATCTCCCCCAAAACC